TTGGAAACAAAGATGTTAAAAAAAAAATAATTTTTAAATGGTTAGGTTGTTGCCCAGATAATCATTCAATATATTCTCTATTAGATTCTTTTATGGCATAAACATTCAATATCTTCTCTATTAAATTCTTTTATAAAATTTTCTATTGCATTAGATTTGTGAATTTTTGGTGACACATAAAAATTGCTAGTTTTCCATTCATAGTTTTTGAGATAAGTAGTTTCTTTTTTTGTTAAACATTCTTTCTAAAATTCTAAACAAACTTATCCACGAGATTTTTAAGTTTCTTAAAACATATTTCATCTGTGTTACCATAGGCACCCGCAGGATTTTTTGATGTTTCAGATAGGACACTTCCACACATTGTGCAAACTCAAAATTTAAGTATGTTCATACCAAATGAAAAGGGCTCGCAAAAATTTGGGATGGTAGACTAAATTTAAATTTATCAACAGATTTTAAATTTTGTAGAAAAATATTGTATATTACAAAAGTTATGACCATGCATATTTTCCGACCCCTCCCCTCAACCAAAATGAGGGGGGGGGGGAGTGTAAATTTTGCATGCTTATAACTTTTGTAATAAAGAATAATTTTCTACGAAATTTAAAATTTGTTGATAAATTTAAATTTAGTTTAAGATAGTAAAGTTGAAAATAAATACATCAGTGCCCTCATATTTGGGCAAATGGGCAAGCATTTTAAGGCTTTTTTTGTTCCCAGGCCTCTGTCATCCTAAATATTGCAAGGCTTCCTCATTTGGCATAGGTATGAACATACTTAAGTTTGGAGTTTGTACAATGTGTGAAAGTGCCCTATCAGAAACATCAAAAAATCCTGCGGGCGCTCATGTGTGTTACTATCAACTTTTTTATGTTTCTGTTAATACGTTTATAGTTTATCTCTATAGTATAGTTGTAGTAAAATATAAATCTTAATTACTTCCTTTTTAAACTTTATATAGAAAGTTTAATATAAAGAGTTTTTTATAGTTTTATAAATCTCATACGCAGCTGATTTTAAATGAAAGGCCTTCTGTGTTAGAAAAAAATTTAAAATATTTGTTAAAATTTAACTAATAAATATATTTTACTCATCTTAGTTTGAATAGTTTTACCTGGAGCTTTTACTCACACACACACACACACACACACACACACACACACACACACACACACACACACACACACACACACACACACACACACAGATATATATATATATATATATATATATATATATATATACACACATATATATATATATATATATATATATATATATATATATATATATATATATATATATATATATATAAACAGGGCCGGCGCGAGTAGGTGTCACGTGGGTGGGGGGGGTGCCATTTAATTTCGCCGACTTAAAAAAAAAAAGGTCCTCGTTTTTCAAAATTCGCCGACTGCCATGACGGCATTTGCCGACTGTCTAGATTACCGACTAACCAATAACGAAAGGGTCGACATTTGCCGACTAACTAGTCTAAAAGGGTCCAATTTGCCGACTAAGGGTCTAATTTGCCGAATAAAAATCATTGATGGGTGTGACACCCCCCACCTCTCCCCCCCTCCACACACCCCTATCGCGCCGGCCTTGTATATATATATATATATATATATATATATATATATATATATATATATATATATATATATATATATATATATATATATATATATATATATATATATATATATATATATATATATTGCTTGTTTTAGCCAAAGCCTTTAGAAAGAGGAAGTGCTACAGCAAGTTTTAAAGATTTGGAAAAAATAGCTTCGCAAGTTAATAAAAAATAAATATACTTTTTTAAAATGAAAACTGTTCTTTTTTTTTTAAGTTTATTTTTTTTTTTGAGATTTTATATTTTCCATTCCACTTTTACCAGAAAATATTTTACAAATGTATTAAGTGACGTATTTTGAGATTTTATATTTCCCATTCCACTTTTACCAGAAAATATTTTACAAATGTATTAAGTGACGCCAAAAATTTTTATATGATTCTTGTGTTTAATAAAATTTTATAATAATGTAACGTCGTGGTTCGTTGATAACATAGTAGTTTTATTTCGCCATTATGGTTCTACCAAATTTTATGGTATAATTTATGACAGTAATGTTGTCAGGGTGATTTTCAACAATGTTTGGTAATTTGGATTTTCAACAATGGTGGTCAACAAGGTTTTCCTTGTGGTATATTAAGATATATGATGTCATAAAATATAATTGTTCAATTTTATCTTTGCTTACTCGATATTTCTGGTTATTTTTATTCAAAGGTTTAACTTAGCTAAACCTAATTTATTTTTATGAGGGTTAAATTTTTTAATTTGTCCTCATTTTACCCTGACAGAAGTTTGACAGAAGCTAGAACTTTGCGAGTAAAACACTATCATTGTAATGTAAAATACACCATCACTGTAATGTAAAATACACCATCATTGTAATTTAAAACACACCATCATTGTAATGTAAAACACATCATTGTAACACAACCTGACAAAACAAACATTTTTAGGCGGCAAAAGGTTTATATTTTGATTATTATTAACTTCATTAATTCATTTTCACGCTAATAGTTATGGTTTTTTTTAAAACTATACTATTGATGTGAAAGTTTTGTGAAAGTATTATTAGGAACCTTAATATCCCGATAAAATGTATATTGTAAAAGAAACAAACGAATGTATTAACATCATGTTTGATGTTAATACATTCGTTTGTTTCTATAATAATCTTCTAGATCCAGTAGAAATTATCATAAGGAATCCAAATGAAGATAAAACTTAAAAAATTATATTTGGTAAAGGCCTATATGGATTCAATAGTATTTTATATGTAGTTTTTATAAATAATCTAAAACAACTATTGATTAGTTCTTCTTAGAAACTCACATATATATACAGGATATGCAGTAAAAATTCTTGTATGATTACTAAATCAATTTTATCATAATCTTTGAATTTACAGCAAAAAAAAAAAAAATTATATATATATATATATATATAAATATTTATAGTCTATCTTATTTTATAGTCCAGTAAGACTTAACAGTGCAGTAACTTTATTCACGGAGTATTGTCCATTTTAATTTCTCTAGTTGTCCTCTAGGTTCTTCAAATTGATAATGAACTTATGAGTCCAGGAAAAATCAGTATCTTACTGTACTAAAAAAAAATGAACATAGCTATTGAAAATCAAATTGTTGTTATGAATGGTTTAAGAAATTATTAGTACAAGTTTTTTAAAATAAATAATTTTTTTTTCCAACAACATTTTAAATTACCAACTTAACATCGTTAAGATATTTTCTACACGATATTAGTTTTTTCCTGCAGTAGTCCTACTAATTTTGTGGGACTACTGTAGGAAAAAAATAATAAATCTTGTAATTCTTATAGGAGTTAACTATTAATTCTATAGCTATGGACAAAAAGATCCGACCACTCATAATTTATAGATAACTACTATATAAATTAAAACTATGCACGTTTGGCAACATAATTTTTTGTTTTGTTTTTTATTCCAATATTTAATACAAATATATCAATAAGAAAAATTACATGCAAAGAAACCGTTAAAAAATAAAGAATAGAGATAAAGAACGCGGATACTCAAAGAAGACCATACAGGTCTTGTCACCGAGAACCGCTGTTGAAGAACTTTGAACTTAATTTAGATTTTAGAAAAAACCAAAATAAATACAAATTTTAAACTTTTCTTTAGTTATGGTCTTTATGGCTTGAATTAAAATACTAATTCTTCTGAATCGCATGACTCAAGCGAAAACAATAGTATCATCATATTCTTGATAAACGAATTTGTCTCGCATCTTACTTGCATCTATACAATCACTGAATATTGTTACTCAAATGTATCTTACAATTACACTAATCTTAGTTGTTAATTAACTAATAAATAAGCGAAAATAAAAAGAATATGACTGCACTAGGTACATCCAAATGAAAGCCAATCGATGGTGTCTTTGTGTGTGAAGCCAAAATTATCAAATGTAAAAAAATTAGACAATGAAAATTGACTTTTTTATATGTTTCAAAATAAAATAAAATAAAACAATTGTATAATCTCTTTATTGATACTTCTTGCCCTGGTTAACCTTTTTAATGATTGATTAAAAAGGTATTTAAGGATAAGTAACGTTATTTTGATAGCGCCAAAGCGCAGAATATCTAAAATATCCACAACAAAAACAAAATAAATAAGGATTCGATTTTTAAAAATTTTTGAATCGTATCTCAAATCCTTTTTTTGATTCGATTTGATTTGACTTCGAAGCTTCGCAGGATCCTAATATATATATATATATATATATATATATATATATATATATATATATATATATATATATATATATATATATATATATATATATATATATATATATATATATATATATATATATATATATATATATATATATGTATATATATATATATATATATATATATATATATATATATATATATATATATATATATATATATATATATATATATATAATTTTAAAATGACCCAAAATTAATTTTTAAAGGCCAACTTTATCGAAGCGCTAATGGCTATTTTAAAACATTTAAATTTATTATCGAAATAAACTACACCCATCATTAAAAAAATGTCAACTGTTAACAAAAAAAATGTACGTCATTTATCAAGCTTTGTTATCAAATTACTTCGAGTGAAAGAGATTTTTTTTAGCACTACATTATGGATATTTACATAATTTACACTGCATTGGATAAGTGAGTAATAAAGTTGAATTTTGGCATGTCTATTTACGAAACTTCTCGCTTTGTATAATGTTTTAATATTTGTTGAAACTGTGCAATAGTTTTAAAAAAATCCGTAGTAAAGTAGTTAGAGTTCTGGTTTCTTAAAGTCCGTGGTTCAATGACGGCTCTGGCCATACATGCATTATTGGTGAACCTTTTGGTTAATTGCTATTCCACGGTACTCTGTGATAAGACCATTAGGACTTCTTGGAGCACCTAAACAACTAATTAAAAAAAAAAAATGCTTAGATATAATTTTTTTATGTGAGATTTTCATCAATGAAAAAACACCAAGCATTATCTTTAATTTTTTAATTTAAGTATTGTCAATATAAATTAGATGCACATCATTTGGCAAAAGATTTTTATAGAATTTCGAATGAAATAGAATCCATATAGTCTTTTATGTTAATTTATAGTTTAATTGATTTGAGCCAATTTTAAATTTTAATTAGCTCCGTGTTTATGCCATGAAAACGTGTTATTATATTATTACTAAACAGAACAATTTTGTGTCATCAACAAACATTATTGTCATGAAGTTTGAGCCATTATAAAGATCATTAATATAAATGAAAAAAAGCAGTGGTCCTAGTATAGACCCTCGGGGACACTACTTGTTATATTTAGTAAATTTGTAAAGGAGGATTACACAAACTGTTTACGGTTGCTTAAACAGCTTTTTAGTTATTTTAAAAAATTACCATAACTTTCAAGTTTTTTTTTTTAATTATCTGTTTTTGATCTATTGTATCAAAATGCTTTCGATAGATTAGTGAAAACTTCAAGACTTTGATTTCTCAAACGAATCTGCAATATTTATAGCAAGACAAAGTACTGTATGTTTAGTGGAATTATTATTATTATTCAAATCCATATTGGTATTTAATAAGATGTTCTTATATTTTTAAGAATGCTTTTGAAAAATCTTCAAAAAATTAGAATGTGCAGAAATGGGATGATAATTAGGTATATTTCATATTTACCCAGGTGAAACCTTAGTTTCTTTTAGTTGGTCAGAAAATATTCTTTGCTTTATTGAATAACTAAACACCTGGAAAAGTATAATTCTTATGATCTTGTAAAAACCAACTATGTTCCCATTTATTTTATCTGGCGCTCTCGCTTTATTCGTTTTTAATATTTTATGAGCACATTGAAATTCTTTAAAACTTTAAAATTACTTAGTATAGAATTTACGGGAAGTGTAAAATCATTTATTGCCTTAGTTATAATTGGAGTATCTTTTCTTACATTAAAACTAACATTTACAAAGAAGTTATTCATTGGATTTACTCTCTTTAAAGTATTAATAACTATCGGTTGCGTGTTTCAATCTTATGCTAGTAATTTCTTTTAAAACTTGCTATATGCATTCTGTTTAAACTTCTCTAGCAAGTTTGAATATTACTTGCTATGTGCGTTTATCGTTTTGTTTAAACTTCTCTAGTAAGTTTGAATATCCTTTTTTTTTCTTTGAGTTTTAAAATGCTTAACGTGATTTTCATAAACCGTCTTATTTTTATCTGCTTTTGACCTTAAATACTTAATATACAATTTTTGTCTAGGTTTGGAAGATTTCCATGTTGACTTACTTTTTTAAAGTTTACTTTGTATTGTGGGAAGTTTGCGTCGTATATTTCAAACAATGTTTTATAGAACGAATTATAAACCACTATTTATGAAACAAACCAAATTTTTTAAAATAATGATTAAAAAATAATAACATACACAAAAAAAAGAATAAGTTTTTTCATTTGTTATTACTCAACTTTTTCGTGTTCTTCCTTGTTTTGCGACCTATGAATGAGTACTAATCCAGAGCAAATAAAAAATAAACCAACCACCCAAGTTATTGAAAAAGCTTCGCGAAAAAAAGCCATTCCAAATAAGCCCTAAAAAACATATTATATTATTCAAATAAAAATATAAACTATGTTGGTTAATTAAAATATACATACTGTTAGTCAAGACAACCTACCCACCTATTCAGGCCCGTGATAACTAACCCATAAACTCATGTATAATCTATTAGTTTCAAAAGGCATTAAGTAGTAAATGTTATAGTCTTTATGTCTAACAAGCAAATTGTATTTGTTGTCTATCAATAAATGCAATTTGCTTAACAGAAAATATTTAGAACTACTATAACTGTTATTGGCAAATAATTTTTAGCGTTTATTTAATACTAAATAAACGCTAAAAATTATTGCCACTAAAAATATAAATAATATGTATAAATACTATGTAGTTTAAATACAAAAAATAAGAAATAATTTTTTTTTTAATTAATACGAGTTATGGCATATAAGTTAAAAATTATATTTTGAACCTTTTTTTGAAAGTTTTGTGAATTTTTTTGAAAGCCTCATCTTTTTAAAATCCTTTGATTCAAACGCGTCAGCTTTTAAATTCCATTATTCTCAACAAAACCTGGTTGATTGCCCCAAAACAAAATAAACAAAATCATTAAGCAATAATATTGTTGAATTAAAAAAAACACTTCACTGAAGTTATGAAATTAGCAGATGAGTTTATAACAGTAACTTCAACAGTAGAATTTGACATTGATAGCGAAAACATAAACAATGCCCACATTACCAAGTTGCATAGCAATACAAACCCAAACATTAAAACCCTGAACGGAACATCAATCTACAAAAATAAAAAATCAATTGTACTAAATTGAACATTAACATAATACTTATTTTATCAAATAAGTAAAAATAAATTAATTTTCATTGTCCAACCCGTTATATTAAAGAAAATTCTTAGGTGGAAAAATTTGTTCAGGTCTAACTTTCAGGTCTAGTTTTGGTAAGCATGATATATTTATTTCGCTTTGAAAATAGGACACAAAACGTTAAGAATATGCTTAAAACCGATAAAATTCTGGGAGTTTATAATATTATAACTCGGCATTTTTAAGGTGATACGTTTAGATTTCGGAAAAAACCACTCAGGCCTTATCTGATCAAGAAATATTCATTTTACTGTTTTACTTGTAAGTTACAAATTTAAAAAATTAATAAAAGGAATATTTGTCTGTTCTAAATGTTTTTGTTTGAAAGTAAAAATATTTTCTATAAAAATTCAAGTAAATTTTTATAACATTCGGAACATTAAAACTCAGCAAACATTGTTTCAGTGGACCTTTGTAAGCATTTTTAAGCGGTTCATTGGAGTTTTTAATCGGTTACTTAGTGGACCATTAGTGGCAGCTGCTATAAATGCCGAGCTGATAATTTTCTGATATTTTAATAGTGGCTTGTTATCGGCTAGCCACTTTTAACAGCTGCCACTAATGGTCCACTAAGTAACCGATGAGCAAAACTACAGCGATCCACTCAAAAGGCCTATATAGGGGTCCACTGAAAATCCACTATAGAATGTTTGCCGATGTGAATATATATATATATATATATATATATATATATATATATATATATATATATATATATATATATATATATATATATATATATATATAATATTTTATCTATGTTTTTTAAATAATACCGTTAAACTACAATTAATACTTTTTGAAACCAATTATTAAAAATTAATGAAAAAGAACAAAACTTTTGTTTGTCAAAATTATGAAACTTACAGTGATACAATTTAAATTAAAAAATCCAACAAATCTTTCAATAAGTTCCACCCTGCAAAGCACTTCAGCTATCTCATACTCACCAAACGTTAATTTGCTAAAAACCGATACTAATGATGCGCAAACTCCAGATAGAAATGAAAGTATGTAACCTAATTTAACCATCCTTGATACCATAAGATTATATAAGATATTAGGTATTTATATATTTTTATAAATTTTTATAATTTATTTCTATAAAAAAAATTAAAAAAATACAGCTACACAAAACAATGGTTAAACAATCTATAAACCTGCTATGACAACTTGCTACGAATTACCACAACTACTAGCTGCTATCATAACTTGCTACGAATTACTATTACCACAACTACTACACAAATAAACTTTGGATCTTTATATCTTATCTTATAGCAATTAAACCGTCTATTGTGAGCAACTTTTAGCATTTTATATAGTATATCTCTGAAACCAATTAATTTAAAATTTTATACTTTCACCCTTGATTAAAGTCTCTGTAAAATTAAAAAACATTTGCAAAATAAAATATACAAAATATCTCTAGGTAAAAAGTATAAATGATCCTCATTTAACAAATATCTCTTAGTAAAATGTGGGATTTGATCTATAGATCAAATGCCATTTAACAAATAAAGAGAATCACCAACACATTTAAACACTATAATTGCATAACAACGATATACAAATTAGTTTATATAATACATTTTATGCATCTATATACCAATATTTTGTAATAATTTTAATTAAAAAAACTTTAATACAAAACAACATATTTTAAAGACATGCTAATCGAACAAGTAAAACAAATACAACGTTTTTTGAACACAAAATAAAACTTCAAATTTATAATATATTCACAGTTTTAAATAAAACATTATAAAATTGTATATATTTGATTTATACTCGAAAAGATCTTAATTTATTAAAAAAAAAAAATACTGAAATCAGAAGAAAAAAAAAAGAATTCAAAGGTATCTTTAAATCAATTACAATCTTTGATTGACATTTGGTTTTTGATCGGCTACGATTTTATATCGACTTTAACTGACTAAAACACAACATTCAATTTTAAGTTAACTGTCACCGGCTTATTAACCATTTGATTTGAAGTCAAACGTTTGAAGGGATATCGATTTGTTTTTCAAATTTCTGATGTTATTAAAAAATGTTCATTGAATTATCATACCCCGAATTAAAGTTTACATCTTCAACACCTCTATTTTTATGATAAATAAAATAAAACCTGCTTCGAAATAAAATCTAAGTTCAAACTTAGAATTCGACTTTAGAATATTTCTAGATTCCCTCGGACTTTATGATTCCAACAGATTCAGGAGATTCGAGCTTTGGCTTACGTTCATAATTCACGAGAACTTTTCCAATCAAATACCTACAAAAAATAACAATACAATACAAACAATATTTATAAATACTTATATAATAAACATATGTAATACCATAAAATTGAAGTTTTTTGAATTTTGAAAACCTTATTCACTGATGAGTTTTGAAAATTTTAAAATTTTAAGTGAACATTGATTTTGACATTAAAAATAATTTTCTCCAAACAGACAATAAATTCCTTATGCATTTAACATATTTACTTTTAACCTTTTTACTTGCTTATTACTCAGCTTATTACCAGCTGCTGAAATTTTTCATTATTAATTCTCACAGGTTCTTTGAACATAAACATCTTTTCTATTTAAACACGAGAAACTAGGCAAAGTTTTTTTTTTCTCTCATATAACCTGTCATTTAAAGGTAAATTTCTAATTTTATAAAAAAGGTAACCTGATAGTTAACATTCAAATCTGGCACTGATAAAGTTGTTTGCATAATTGATAAATTCTTGTTTTTTTCATTCTTCATCTTTTTACCTAGTTCTGCTAAAAATCTTTTTTTGCTTTATACACACGGTTCTGTGTTGTAAGTATACACAACTTCATAAATAAAGTCTTTTAATGCTTGTAAAAGTATAAATACTTATTCATTGCTCTTGTAACATTTTTTTTAGGTTGTTTCCAGGCTTCTTCACACACATTTTTAAACTATATATATATATTTAATATATATATATATTTTTAATATATATATTTTTTTAATATATATATATTTTTTTAATATATATATATATATATATATATATATATATATATATATATATATATATATATATATATATATATATATATATATATATATATATATGAGTTGTGACAAACAAATCGTACATTCAATGCATTCGCACACTGTGTAGAAAAGATAGCGCAGAATCTATAAAATCAGATTTTAAGAATAATATGCATGAAATTGTGACCGTTCACTGGGATGGGAAATTATTACCTGGAACGGACGTAAGAGGTTTTAAAGGAGAAAATCTGGCAAATCTAATTTTACTTAGAGAAAAAAAACCACTGCTGGCTGTACCTAAACAGGATAGCTGAAGCTGTGATAAATGCACTTTATAATTGGAGCCTTGATGACAAAGTACAAATAATATGCAGTGACACAACAGCGTCTAATACAGAGCCATTAAAAGGAGCTTGTATAATTTTGGAACAAAAACTAGACGGGGAATTACTACTTTTTACTTGCCGCCATCACGTTTACGAACAGGTTTTATGTGGTTTGAAACCAAAATCCACAAAGTTACAAGTAGCCCTGATATCCCAAAAAAAAGTTTAAAAAGTTTAGAGAAAACTGGAAAACTATAAATGCTATTGAAACATACCCTAATATTGTTAAACAACATTTTAGTAATACAACATTTGAAGAATTTTTGACATTTTATAATTAAGAACTGCAAAAAGCTATTGTACGTAATGATTATCGAGAAACTGATTGAACTATCTATTTTTTTCTTAGGAGGTGATAATGAGAAAAAAACTAAAATTCCCGTAGAGCAATGCATCAGGCGAGGTGGATGGCTAGAGGTGGATGGCTAGAGCTATTTACTTGTTAAAGATATGTTTGTTGCAATCCCATATCAAAATTAGCAACAAGAATAAACTAGCACTTTGATTTTATGTCTGTCAAGAGTAGAAATTTATTTTCTTGATTAAAAACTAATGAGAACTTCCTCCAGTGACCCGTTTGGATGTGGGATAAAGATGTTGTCTATATAGAGGCAAAAAGAAAATTTTTTGCCTTAAGTGCAGTTAATGATGCAGCTAAAAGAGCAGTAAAACTTATTAAAGATTTTCATTGTTTGATGACTGCAAAGGAAGAACAAAAGCAATTTTTGCTACGCTAGTTTTTGTTACGCTATTTTTAATTTTTAATTTTGTTACGCTATTTTACGTTATTTGGTCAATAAAGAAAAATATCCTACTTTATCTGTAATTTTAAATTCTTTATTAAATATTTTATAAAATATAAGCGTTTCAATTAATATCGTAAAATATAAGTATTTCAATTCGATATCGTAAAAAAAAATTCACTCGTATAAGGGACACTCTAATATATATATATATATATATATATATATATATATATATATATATATATATATATATATATATATATATATATATATATATATATATATATATATATATATATACATATATGTATATATAATAATTTAAGCACATACTTTTCATTCTTTATTTTTTCATACAATGATCGAAATTGCTTTCCTTGCAGTATTATTATTCCAGTAAATAATACTAAGAGCATTAGTGTTGGATACATCCTTCTTAAGCACATGGTAACAAAATCAGGACCAAAACCTAAATAGTATAGAATATTATAACTTTAATAAATAATATATTAAATGGTATAAATATTTTTATATATTTTGAATTATTTGAAACTGTTAATAAGTATTTAATTTAGAAATTCATCCACTTTTCCAAGACTCAATAAAAAATTAAATACTAATTCCATTGGATTCAACTTGATTAAAAGTTTAATTAAAATAAAACTAATTAGTGATTTCAAAACAATAACATATCTACAACAGCAACAACATACCTAATAATGGCAAAACACCTTTAGCCGCAAAGTATGGTGCAGTAATCGCAAGTAAAAGTGTCACACATACAGGAGCTATTATATTTTTCAAAATAAAGCTTAAATTAATATTCATAAAGCCGTTGCGGTAGACCTAAAAAGAAAACAACAGATTAAATTAGGCATTGTAGGAGAAAATACCCTTAAATAATGAAAGTCACTAGTTGAATTGGAATAAAGATAACAATACTAAAATGTTATCAAAATTATAAAATACTTATAAAAGTCAGTTTTAGAACAATTTTGGAAAATTCAAAAGCTTAAAGCTTAATTTAAAAATGCTCCACCAAAATTTTTGCTCCACCAAAACAGCCAGTCATTGAATTTAAATTAGATATTCTTATCCCATGCCAACAGATTAGCCCATTCCATTTTAACCAACATGAACAAAACTTAATACAGGAAGTGTCTCAAAATGTTCCCAAGGAATTGTTTCCTTTACAAAAATTTATTTATTTAGAGTACTATACTCATTCTTGCGCAACTTTTTAAAGTTTAATATTTTTACATTTTTTGAGTTTTAATGGGCATTTTTGAACAATTGGCAAAAATACAAATTAACAAATCATTAACTATATACTTTATCATTACAAAGAATGGAAGGTTTTTTTTATCTATACCAATTGTGTGCATTTTTATTATTATTACATTGGTTACTTGATCATATTTTAAAAATGCACAAATTTGTTATAAATAAAAATGTAAATAAAATTTGATGTAAATTAATTTGATATAAATAAATATAAAACAAAATTTGATATAAATTATAATAAGATTATAGTGTGATTTTGAAATATGGTAGTAGTGAGGCCCAATACACAACAATACATTATTTTTTTAATTCTTTTGATCTTAGACAGTTTACCCACTTCAAAGAATGGCTATTTAAAAGAAAATATGTGCAAGGTTAGCTAAGTTTCATGGCTAAACATTATTCTTGTTAACCTGCTGCTATTATGTCAGAGAGGTGTAAATAAAACTGTTAGGTAGGATCAACTATTTAAATCTAGGAAGCAGAGCACATAAACAAAAGTTATAAGTTTTTAATTAAATTTTGAAATAATTTACATTTAGACTTTTACATTTAGAATATTGTGAACTATTGAAAATAACTTTCAATTAAGTTTCATAAAAAAAAATCAAACAATCAAAAATTAATACAAATGGAGGCATTTTGCAAACCAGGTAATGACATTGCCAAAAACGTCAGGTGTTTGGCAATGTCATTTTGCTACATAAAATTCAGGTTGCTTTTCTCCAAAATCAAGCAGGTTCTTATTCCGAGTGATAAAATAGTCAAAGAAATCAATAGAATGGCTGACCACAGCCATCCTAAAGGCTGACTACATTTCTCTCTTTAAAGCATCGTGGTTTTTGACCTGGGAGTTTTTTTTGATTCTTCAGCTTCTAAAGTAAAACTTAATATTTTGTTGATAAATTATAATTGAATCATACATTTCTTAAGACTCTTGGTAGGCTCCTTTCACTAGAGTCCTGGTTTTGATAAACTAGGTTGTTTGAAAAAATGTCTATCCATGAAACTCCATTAGATTTTTTGGATACAATGAGTTTGAAAGCTTGTAAAATCTTTCAAAGTTGTAAACAACTTATCAGAACTCACAACAAAATTGTAAATCTATTGACTATAGTTTAAGAAACTGATTTCTTAAAACATGAAATATATTTCTCATTTTGAAAAATAAATTGCAGGGTGGGATATTTGCTTTTTAAAGAAGACATATTTTTTGCTTTAAAAAAAATATTTCCAAATAAGAAATTCAATTTTGCTGTGATTTCTGTAAAATTAATTCAAGATAATGTAGTGTGTGTGTGATGAGAAAAAAGAAGTTTCAGAACTTACTCCAAATAAAGAATTCTTGTAAAAAAGCAAAAAGCAAAAAGAAGAGTAGATACAAACAACTTGCAAATGCTAGTTGCTTTATCCACTTTTCTTCTTTTATAGGAACAGCAAATGCTCCTTCACTATTGACTATGAGTTAATAACTCAAAACACTTGAGATGATTTCAATCATTTGAATTTTGATCTTATACCTAACTGTTGAGTCTAAATCATGAAAATTTATTTACTTATACATATATATGTATGTATTTATATATATATACATACATATAAATACACACAGATATGTATATATATATATATATATATACATATATATATATATATAAATATATATATATATAAATATATATATATAAATATATATATATATAAATATATATATATATATATAATATATATATATATATATATATATATATATATATATATATATATATATATATATATACATATATATTAGGGCCCTGCAAAGCTTTGAAATTTCGAATCAAATCAAAAATATGATTCAAGATACAATTCAAAAATTTTCAAAAATCGAATCCTTACTTCTTTTTTTTTGTTGTGGGTATTTTATATATATTATGCGCTTTTGCGCTATCAAAATAATGTTACTTATCCTTAAATACCTTTTTAATCAGTCATTAAAAAGGTATACCAGGTCAAGAAGCATCAATAAAGAGATTATACATTTGTTTTATTTTATTTTATTTTGAAATATATATTATTAAAAAAAAAAAGAAGCTTTAATTTAGACTTCAAAATGTTGATTCGAAACGTGATTGGAATTGTGAATAAAGATTCGATTTGAAAATAAAAACTGACGATTCGCAGAGCCCTAATATATATATATATATATATATATATATATATATATATATATATATATATATATATATATATATATATATATATATATGCACACACATTTAAAGCAGCCATTAAGTAATGGTTACAGTGATTGCTTTAGATTCATAAGATCTGTGGTTTAATGCCTGCTCTAGCTGTATGTGCAACAAAAAGCATAAATGAACTTCCTAGTTAAATCCACTTCCACGGTGCTCTGTGATAAGACCATTAGGTCTTATCACAGTGCACCTAAAATAACCATACAAAAAATATGTACATATTTTTTGAAATACTACTTTTAAATATATATATTTATGCTCTTTGAAATAAATTTTAATACATTTAAAAATATATTTTGATCTAGTTTAATCTACCACAAAAGATTTGAAGTCCTTTAGGGTAACCATATTGGATTTGATAATCTTTTAGGGTAACCGTTTTGGATTTGAATTTGTTTGATCCAAAGTTCCAATAATGTATTTTTTTCAAAACATCATTTGATACCAAAATGAAGTAAAAATGTTTACAACATGACTGTAAATAGATTCTCATAGATCAACAAAAAATCATTTTAATTTGCAATCAGAGAGAGGTGGATACTTCCATATATTTCTTAAATTAAAAAGCATAGTGTTTTTTTTGGTACAGGAACACATAAAAATAATTGTTGAAAAAACTGACAGTCAAAAATCGCAAAAAGTGTAACTCTGAACAAATAAGAACTTCTAACAAGAAAAAATTAAAAAATTTTCATATAAATATGATCTCTATGCCACTTATTAGCTACTCTACATAAAAATCGTCTAAAAAAAATTATAGGATTAGCGGCAAGAGATGCATTTTCGTACAATAGCATCTATTGCTAGCTGCTAGACCTGATTTTATAAAAAGCTTATTTTCTATGCATTACTAAGAACTGATGCTTTTTATAATATTTTTGTAATTGCAATTTTTGAATCCAATGAGAAAAATAAATATACTGCATGAATATACAGGTATATCCTAGGTATCATGAATATACAGGTATATCCTAGGGTTGTTAACTGTAGGATGACATGCAATTTCAGAAAAACAACATTTTTTTGTAAAAAGATTGAGAACGAGGAACTACATTTTTTCGTACTGAATATTACAAAACATTTAAAATTGTCGATGTTCATTTTGCAAATGCTACTTCCAAAATTTAGCGTTTCGCAAGTTGACATAGGAAATAAAACTATTTTGCAACATACGAAAGTAGCGGTTTTGGAAGTAGCACTTGCGAAACAAGCATTTTTGCCAAACAACGTTTTGAAGTCTATACAGAAAATTTGTTTGCTAGACTGATTTTAATTAACATATAAAAATTAATATCTTTAAATCCCAAAATGTTTATAATGAATATTTATTTTCAGTATAATAACATATTAAATTTTTATGGTTTTATTTTTAGAAATATTGATAACAAACAAAATTTCTTTCGAAACGAAAGTATTTTGCATCACAACACACAAAAGAGTTCTTAACGGAAACAAACTTACGAAATAAATTTATATAATGATGTTTTTTGAACTGATTACGTATAGTAAAAGTAAGAATGATGGGGAGGAATAACATGTTTTTTTTTTAAAGCATATGAAATTTTTGAAACAGGTTCAAATATGCTTAAGCAAAAAGTAACAAGAGGCTCAAAAATAGGCTTAAGCTTAAGCATACTTTTAATAAAATATACCTATTTCAATTATTTCTAAAAGTGTGCCCAGTACTAAAGGTTAATGGGTATAAGAAAAATAAAAAGTTGACTTATGCTCTGTATTTTTGTGTTGGTTTTAATGTAGCTGAATTAATGTTGTCATAAACTTTGGTTTTTGTTGGTTTAAATTTAGAAATATATATATTTAAAAATTTTAATTCAATAAAAATAAAATTTTTTAAAATTGTTTATAGAGGCTCAGGAATATGCTTACATATGCTTATTTTTTTTCCAAATCTGGGCCTATAAGCGTTATATTTATAAAAAAAAAACAGAGCATATACAGTAGAATTCCTTTGTCTTGGTCCCTGGATAAGTAGATTTATGGGGCTATCCATAAATGATGTCAGTAAATATAATGGGGAAGACCAAAATAATGTCCATTTAAGAAAAAAAAATTCAAGTTTATTAACCAAATTCACGTCAGAAACCTGGATCTATTTGTAGGGAAAAAAATAAAAAAAGTAGCTTTGTTTAAACCTTTTTAGTGTATCTTAAACCTGTTCTGTTTGTGTTTTTTATTCAGAAAAAAGTTTAATTATTAGCCTTAGCTATCCTAGATTTTAAAAACACAAATGGGAAACCAATAGGGTTTTATCGCCTTCCACGCATAGAAGCTATTCAGAACGAATACAAAAAACAGTTGGAATGTATTGAGATCATGTTCACATTTGGTCACAATACGACTTTAAACTAAAGTCAATATTTTTACTGAAAAAGATTTGAAATTTATATAAACAAAACTATCTATATACAAAAATAGGCTTTATACGGTTTTGTTGTTATTTATAACGCTACCATTTTTATTTTTTTTCCCTACAAACTGCGTTATATGAATTTGGCTAATACGAGCAGATTTTAAGATATTTACATCTACAATGTAGTATAGAAATAGCATATTTGCTTTGTGGGGAATTCAATGTAAGTTTTCAGGAGACATGATATAAATTAAAAACTTACCAACATTTTCTATTGTATTACAATTTGACTGAAAATCTAATTGTTTACAAATATCAACAACTTGTATATAAATGTATTACAAATATCAATAATTTGTATATAAATTTGTATATAACAAGCATTATTCGATCCCAGCAGATTTTAAAATGCCCTTTAAAGCAAACACATAAAGTCATTTGTCATTATTATCGAAGAACACTTCAACAACTCATGGGAAGACGATGAGCGATTGAATTTATATTATAGATATAGAACAAAATTTTCAATAGTTTGTTTACTATTTGATGAGGTATCAACTGTTCTATAATACAATATGCTGAGATATAAATGTATAATTTAACCAGAAAAAATCAATGGAGCTTACACATATTTTTAATGTTACTTTAGGGTTGGGGGGGGGGGGTACAAAATCTGACATCATATAAGGGGACATCATATATAAAGTTTTGCTAAAAATTGACAGTTTGACAAAGAGGGAAGGGGTTTAAAAATTAAAAAAAATCACAGTCCAATTATGGATAACCCCTTTTACTAAGTTGGAAAGTTTTTCAATTTTCCTTGAATGTTCTATAAATACAAGATCTACGCTTAACTCGGACATTCTCTAAGTTGTACTATTTATCTGTTCCCATTAAGAGTCCAACTTAACGGAATTTTACTGTATATATATGTGTGTGTATATATATATATATATATATATATATATATATATATATATATATATATATATATATATATGTATATATATATTATATATATATGTATATATTAGATATAAACACTTGAAGAATCATTTAACAACATTTTTTTATTATTTATTATTTAAACTGTTAACAGTTATATCGTAACGTAAAATCTTTTGCGTCTTTTTCGTAACTGCACATTCCAGAATGCTCCTTCCGTAAGGAACTATTTTGTAAGTATTCTTACAAAATTATTTGTTTTGCAAGTTTCCTTTTGCAATGCTTTATTACGGAATTTTATTTATTTATATTTTTGTATTGTGCGTTACGGAATGTGCATTTTTGCATGTGCAACTTCCGGAATAACAATTCTATTATGTTAGATAAAGATGCAAAATTTTTGCAAGTTTTGTTTTTCGGCGAACAACCTTAGTATATTCCTAGAAATATTAAAAAAAAAAAAAAAATTAAAACTAATTAAAAATAATAATATATAATAGGGTTTGGATGTTTTAATTCACATTCTAAACATTAATATTTTATCATCAATCTTTTTCTCCAAAAAAACAGAATGGAAAACAAGTACTTTCCAACAGAATAGAAAACTTTAAATTTTTATTACTTAACATGACACAATAGCAGGAATTTATATTTAAATGTATATACACTAATTTATACATAAATGTATTTACATATTTGATGTTGTTTTAGCACATTCAATAGTGTTCAGCACTCTCCAAAAAAAATAATTATCAAAAAAACCTACTCTATCAATTGCATCCTTTAGCCACCAGTCTGGTCCAACCATTATTATGGCACAGATAATTTTCAGGTGTAAGATACCAAGTGCCCAATCCTAAATAAACCATAAAATTTTAAAATTTAAAATAAAAAATAAAAAATTTTTCCTCTTATAATTGAAATATTTTACTTACCTGCCACAGATAAAGTAAAGGGGTTTGATCGAGCGGAACACGTAATGGGATAACAACTACAAGCTCAAAAAAAGTGCCCAACAATAGTGGTACAAACCCAAATAATGCAATTGTAGTAACAAATGTTTTGATAATCTATAAGAAAATAAAAATATTTATTAGTAATTCTATTTATTATCTATTACTTTTATTATTATCTATTTACTATCTATTATTATTATCATTACTATTATTATTATTATTATTATTATTATTATTATTATTACTATTATTATGATTAACACTAGAATGTTAATAGTTAGAAATTCTGTGACAAGAACGATTTTAGATCTGGCACCACTGAAAGCAGCATCTGTTATTCCTATTTTCAAAAATTCAGAGGAGCAATCTGACTCGTTTAACTACCAACCCATTAGTCATCTTCCTATCATAAGCAAGGTTTTTGAGCCTTAAATTAACAAACACTTACTTTCTAATCATCAATATGGATTTCAGTCTTCTCATTCTAGTGCTGATTTGTTAACGGTAATAACTGATAGATTTTAATGTGCATTAGATAGATGTGGAGAGGTTAAGGTTATTGCTCTTGAAATTTCTAAAACTTTTTCTAAAATTTGGCATGTTGGTTTTCTCCATAAGCTCTCTTCTTACAGTGGATCAGGTAACATCTTTAGGATTATTGAATACTTCTTTACTAATTGTAGTATAAAAGTTGTCCCCAATGGAAAGCACTCTTTCATATGCTGCAACTTCAGATGTTCTACAAGGTTGTATCCTTAGCCGTATACTTTTTAATCTACATTAATGATTTCTCAGAAATTCTCACTACTGTTGGTTTCTTATCAAGACAAGAATAAATGATACTACCATTTATACTTGTCTTGATAAGAAACCAACACTCTCTGATTGCTGATCTAACTTCTGCTACACCATGGGGTTCTCAGTGGCTGGTAAACTTTAAAAAGAGATAAAACTCAATTTTTTCAGCTAATCATTATCGCAATAAACTAGATTTTTCTATATTTATGAACGGTAATGTACTCTATGAGTCATCTATCCTTTGTCTTTTAGGATTAAATCTTACTTCTGGTCTTTCATGGAAAACATATATTAAACCTGCTAAGGTTGCATTTCTTTATCATGCTCGGCACTTCCTTACTCCAGATTCTATTCTTTATCTCTACAAATCTCAAATCCATCATTGTATGTATTACTGTAGCCATATCTGGGGCGGATCTTTTAATAATGCCGTTCCTTTTGTATAGACAAAATAAAAAAATGCATTGTAAACATAGTTAGACATGCACTTGCTGCCAACCTTTAACCATTGTCACATCATTGTAATGTTTCTTCTATAAATACTAAAATGGGCGCTGCTCTAAAGAGCTAGCACCTCTTGTGCCATCTAACAAAATCCATTCTCGTATTATTCATCATTCAATTATATCATATTATATATGTGTTATATATTTAAATATGCAGCTGTAATTCAAAACAATTCAAAAGTCTTATTTTTTTACTGTGACTGTTTCTAAGTGGCCCAAAAATCTTATTCATCTAGGTTTTTTCCTTGAACATCAGTTCTTCGGAATTGACTCACTTCATCTTGTTTTCCTGATTCATATAATTTACAAATCATTTGTTAATCATTATCTTGCTCTCCAAATCTTTCCTCTTTCCTTTCAACTCTTATAGTGGTTGCTTGCAGCCTTGTTAAAAATAGTAATAAAAAAAATAAAAAAAGAAACAACAGCAAGTTCTACATTGTGATGGGTGATGCATTTATAAGGAAGGTAAAAAAAACCCTATATGCTTAGACATAATGGTATTTAGAAACTATCATCATTTTCCTGAATATTAATTAAAAAAAGACAGTGCAATTAATCAAATTACATATATATATGTATATATATATATATATATATATATATATATATATATATATATATATATATATATATATATATATATATATATATATATATATATATATATATATATATATACACCAGAAAAAAAGTATTTTAAGAAACACCAGAAAAATAGTATTTTATTTTAAGAAACATATATATATATATATATATATATATATATATATATATATATATATATATATATATATATATATATATATATATATATAACTATATAACTATCTGATCAGCTAGTTTAAATAATAAATTTTGCAACAAGTTAAAACTACCTGCAAACACAAACCCAAAAATCTACAAGCTAAAATGATCATGCAGTTGTGCAAATACCGGTGAGACCAAAAAGAAAGTTATACCCAGAGTTATATTCAGCACAAGAAAAATAGTATTTTAAGAAAATGGGCTGGCTTAAATGCTTTTGATCATTCCAAAATATGCTATCTTTCTTTTGATTTGTTACATCACAAGACCTAATCTGTAACACCAGATTATCAAATTAAAAAAATAAGGAAATCACTAGAAATAAGCAGAGAAAAAGTACGGCAAAAATATATAAAAATACAAAATATCCTTGCTATGCTTAAAATTGCATTATGTTAAAAAAAAGTTTATGGGCAGTTATATTCATTGAATTCAATCCATATAAATGTATGCACCTAGGTAAATCCACATAAATGCATGTATATATACATTGACATATGTATTACATTTTATACATTATACTTCACACTTATGTTATTCACAGGGAAAAGATTAAAAGGCAATAATGTTTATCTGACAGGATAAACTAGGTATGGGTAATATTTGTTTTGTTTTTGGAAATTAATACTTGTTTTATAATGTAGTTCATTAAAATATAATGAAGATTAATAGGTAATATATGTAGTATTTAATGAAGATTTATGCGTAATATATGTAGCCAATGTGTTTTGTCTGTTTTAGCATCTTTATATTTGTTTTAACAATACTTTAGCAATAAATTAAATTTTTTTCTTTTTGAAATATATCTTTGTTCAACTGCTTATTTTTCTTTGTTTTTATTACCTCCTTTAGCAGAAATTCCTTTTTGTGAGCAGTTCATATTTATGCGGTCTTTTATTTCTCAGTTTAGTATAAACAACAAATTAAATTAAATTTATCAACAAAATGAATAAAATTATTCTTAATACATAAAAAATGTAAAGAAAACTTTTCAAAAAGAATTTTTTTTTGGTTTTATTATTTTTTTTAATTATTGAAGGAAATGCAGACATTCAAAAATTGTTTTTTTTTTTTTTTTTGTAATTCACCTCCTCAAGGCCAAGAAGGCCACTACAGTTGAAAAGGCTACTTACTCATGGTTACAACCCTCTCTCAACCTATAACTCCAAAACATGAACCTCAACGAGCAAGGTCTCTGCATGGGCAATTAAGTTGAGCGTGGTACTACTAGTTTATTTAAAAACTATTCATAAACATTTATTTAATCATTCCAAATAAATCAAAAATGTTCTTATCATTACAAAAAGTGTTAGGCATACAACCATTATTGTTTTATCATATCTTACTTATTGTTACAAAGCTCAAAGTTTAATTATTTAACAATTATTAACAAATTAAGATTAAAATACACAGTTTAAAATAAACTTGTTTATGTTGCTTTATTTAAAAAACTAAAACAAACTGTAATAAAAAAGTATACCACAAGGCTAAGAGTTTTCATTTTTTTCAGCACACCCTGATACCCAGCAGGATATGCATAAATTGTGGTTAGTGCACGCAAAAATAACCATATTAAATAAAATCCAGCAGCTGCAGTATAAAGCTCGTGAATCACTGTATTGTCAAAAAAGAGAGATAACACAAATCGCCCAACCAGAACTAAAGTAGAGAAAAAGAACGTGTTTAATATTACATAAAGGATTTTTTTAATAAAAATTTATGAAACAAAAACATACCAGGAATTGTAAAACAGCAAAATGATGCAAGTACAAAAGACACAATACAACAGCTTATTAAAATTGTCAACTAAAACATTAAAAAATAATTTAATTTTTATTTAAGTTTTCATTTTATGATTAAACATTCAATTTTTATATCATTTTTATTGAAACTTTTATTGAAATTTTTTTAAACATTATTTGCTATAAATATTTTTAGGATTTATATTGTTATAACAAACTTTTAATTTACAATTATACTACTTTAATTTCATTGGTCATACTACAAACTTTAATTTCATTGGTCATACTACAAACTACAATCATACTATAAACATTTTTACAATTTATTACAAACACACACACACACAGACACACTGTATGTATGAAAACCATACTGAAAGAGTTAACATTTTGTTTGAAGGTTTTGGGAAACATTTCTTAAAAAATGACTTAGAGAAGATTTTTCCCACCCATTACTTTTATGTTTAGTCCTTTCTCTAAGTTAATTTTTTTTTCTTCTCTTCTTTATGTATATTTTTAAATATAAGCTTTCTCATTGTCTATTTTTTGTTGTTATTATATTTATTTTTCTTATCTTTTGTCTCTTTGTTGACAGAAAAGGAAAAACCAATAAAGTTGGTAGTCTATTAAAATTCAACATCTGAAATTTTTAACTGAAGTATATTAAATTGTATTTACATTAAACATAATTTATCTTTTTTTAATTAAAGCTCAAAAAAATAAATAATACATTTCAATCATCTAAAAATAGCAGCACAACAACTAAATTCTAAAAGAAAAATTTGTGGCTTCGAAAATAAAAAAACTCACGGTAATGCAATCATTGTAATGTTTGTTTAAAAAAAAAATTATTAGCGAATCAGATACTGATACTTCAGTAGAAGAAATAGCTTAGATTAGTAGATTTAATGTCAGGTTAGATTGTGACCACCATTATGTCAGGGTGTCATAGTGTTAGCAAAACTTGTAAATTTCCGAAATAACAATAACATTGGTTTAACCTTAGATCAGGCAGTTGCTGGCGCAGATAAACAAGGTCTTCAAATTTAGTAGTGAAAAAATCAGATGATTACTCAATGAAAAGCTTGGAATGTTCAAGAATGAACATTTTAATAACTTGGAATGTTCAAGAATGAACATTTTAATGACTTGAGCATTACTCAACAGATCCATATTTATTTCAGAATGTTCTCTTATTACCCAGGTTGATTACAGCTATTATTAAAGCTGGATGATGCTAACTTGTTTTGACACAAATGAGTACCGATTTTCAAATTAGGATTAAAAAATATGTTCTGTAAAAGAAAAGTCATGATCTATTCAAAATAAAAAAAAAATAAAAAAAAAAAAACTAGTTCATTCAAGTAGATTTAAAAGTATATCAAAAAGTATACATCTAAAATGTTTAGTTTTAGATGTTTACTTCTTTATGACAGAAAAAATAGCTTTTGTATGTCGATGTTTGGTCCAATGAATCAACAGTTTTGAAAGGGATTGGAAAAAAGCTCATATCACAAAATATCACATTTTCGCAGACAATGTAAAAACCGATTACTAACGCTAAAAGTCATAAGTTATATATTTATAAAGTCATGTGTTATGTATTTAAAAATGCAGCTTAATTCAAAAACAAATTAAAATTTAAGCAAAAATGAATAGATAAAAATAGATAAATAATAGATAAATAGTCAGAAAACTTATTGATGTGGCTCTACTTTTAGCTACACCATCTAAATGAAGCACTATTTAGCATATATCTTTTAAAAGCATATATCTTTAACTATATCTATTTAAATAGATATTATTTAACAGATATTTAATAGCTGGCCTACAATGTTGGCTTACAATGGTACTTTTACATAATTGTAGTCTATACCTTTAATACTGGCCTACAATCGTGCTTTTAAATAATGGTAATTTGTAAACAAAAGTTTAAAATGTATCTCCCAATGTTCATTACATTTATTGTACAGCTAATGTTGATATTTCAAATACAAAAACTTAACAATTTCATTAGTGACATTGTAGATATGAGAAATGATTCAATATTTAAAAAAAACACACAAGAAGCTATAAATATTTCAAATATTTGTGGTGGTCCAGAGGTTTTTTAAAGGCCAGAAAACATTACAAAAAAAAATTCAATTTTTTTCTTTTTGATAAAATGATAAATAACAGTTGTTGAGAATGCTAGAGAATGTTTTAAAAGTAAAAAATTTTATGTTATGCTAAGTGAATCCACAAATCAGATCCTTTAAAAAATAAGATTAGTATATAAACATTTTACCAAAAAAGTTAAAAAACAAGCATAGATACCTTAATGCCAAAATTGGGTGAACGAGCATATGCACGCACTGTAGGAGAGCCAACACCCTCTAATGCATTTTCAGGAGCTAATAAGATAAACATGAGAAAACAGTAAAAAAAATATTTTTCTCAATTTTCAGTTTAAACAATAAATTTACCAGAGTAGCTTCAAAAAAGCTAAAAAATAACAGAACTGCATTCCCTTTTATCAATTTTACTAAACTTTTTTTAAATTTTGTATTTTACCTATTGAATAGGTAAAATACAAAAATAAAAGGTCCGAACATGTTCTTGTTCGGACATTTTATTTTCTATATTTTAAATGTTGTATTTATTTATGGTTTTGACAAGGTCTGGTTAATCTTAATTCCAAAAACTAATTTTTATATATTTTTACATGTGATACTTGATAAAAAAAAATTTTTTAATGTAGATATGTGTGCATTTATATATTGAACCAGTATATGAGGGATCCAGAGGGATCAGTATTATACTATTTCATGCTTACTCAAAAACTTTATTTGCAATACAATAAATATGTATGCAATATAAACTCAAGGGCTTTATTTGCAACACAATAACTATATATGTATGTTATGTAAATCATTAATTAAAAAAGTTAAGAGCAAATTATTACAAAAGTTTTACAAAATATAAATTATTTTAATACTAATAATGTATATATGCATATATATTAGGGTGCATCAAATATGCTGATGTCAAGGAAACACATTCTACCTAGTCTAAAAATGTTTTATTGCTCATCAATGCTGCCTAGAAAAAATTTCATGGATTCATTGCATTATTTCATAATGCAAATCATTTAGGAAGTCCACCACAAGTTTGATAAATATTACAGTGAACAGTTTGACAGAATGGGGTTTTCGCAAGCTAGAAATTCTTAAGCCTATCTTTCGTTGATAAGATATATCTTTCATCCTTAACTGATAAGCTGATTTCTATACAGTTTATATATTCTTTGCTTGTTTGCATTAGTTGCCATCTTGTATTTCTGAAATATTATGTTTAAAATTTTTAAAAAAGTGTAACAAATTTACAAACTCTTATGGTTATTGCCAATTGATTTGTTTATATTCCCTGTGTTTTTTTTGTTGTCAAAGGAATAATAACAACAAACCAGCAGACTTTGAAACTCTGCCACTTTGTTAATTATGACACATTTGTCTTTATTTCATGGTGAATGTTTTGCATATCTGTGAAAGTTCCACGACATCATGACCTAAAGTTTTACCAGGCAATGCTGTCATATGTAAAACATTTTAACTCAACATAAAAATAATGATTTTTTTATATTTTGTTTTTTTTCAAGAGGAAAGCAAAAATGTAAATTGCTATCTGTTTGTAAAACATATTTGTATAATTTTAATGTAACAAGTATATATTGTCTGTATATGAACATATCAATGTAATGCATGCGTATATGTTTATATACACTTATATGTTAGTCTGTTCATGTATGCGTATACACTTATATGTTAGTTTGTTCATGTATGCGTATACACTTATATGTTAGTTTGTTCATGTATGCGTATACACTTATATGTTAGTTTGTTCATGTATGCGTATACACTTATATGTTAGTTTGTTCATGTATGCGTATACACTTATATGTTAGTTTGTTCATGTATGCGTATACACTTATATGTTAGTTTGTTCATGTATGCGTATACACTTATATGTTAGTTTGTTCATGTATACGTATACACTTATATGTTAGTTTGTTCATGTATGCGTACATACTTATATGTTAGTTTGTTCATGTATGCATATACACTTATATGTTAGTTTGATCATGTATGCATACATACTTATATGTTAGTTTGTTCATGTATGCGTATACACTTATATACAGCATAGGCTTTACTGTTCACTTTTTTAATTATATTTGTTTGCTCATTGGTTAACGCACGCTTAGCTTATTTAGATAAGGCGTTTACTTAAAACACAGAATGTTTGTGGCTTGAACCCCACCAATATCCAATCTTTTATTGTTGTGTTTTTTTAAATCCTGCTGTTAATAAATTTTTTAACGATTTATTTTCTATTTTTTGAATATAAAAAATCTTTTTGTTGTATGTTTTTGAATGATATACATTTCTTCACATTCAGATTTCTTACACCATTTAAGCCTCTTAGTGTATTTTCTAAGTAAAGCGCACACACAGTTTTTGAGCTTCAATTATGCCCTCTACACATTTTTTACATAGCCTTAATTGTTTCATGTTATCTTTCTATTCCTGTACATTTTTTAACTCCAATCTTTTAGCGCTTTGTAATTTTGAATAGCATTTGCTTTTTAACATTCAACTCAGTGCGCTTAGTTCTACCTGTTCTATCCCTTTTGGTCTACTATGTTACTGGTGAAATATAAGTAAACAATAATTAATGGTAAATCTTTGCTTGAATTTTGGGCTTTTATACTGGACATCTGTCCAACACCTATTAATCATTTTTAGCTAACTCTTATATAATCTAATACAATCTTTTATATTTTTTTAACTTTAATATAATCTTTTCTCCTTCTTCCCTGAGGCTCCTACAGCTGTATGTGTGTATATATATATATATATATATATATATATATATATATATATATATATATATATATATATATATATATATATATTTTCTTCTTTCTTGAGTCTAAGTAACTGGTTTGGGAATGATAAATGTTAACTTAACAAGTATATGTATTGCAAAAAAAAAAAAAAATACAATTGTCAAAAAGACAATTTAGAAATTTCTGAAGATTTCTAAATAGATCTTATTGATAAAACATCATGTAAAATAAAAAAATGATAAGTAATATCTACTAATTTATTATTGCTGTTAAGAACAGAGCAATAATAATTTTTTTCTTTTTAGAACAAACAATAAATTCTTCTTTTAAGAACATTGGACATTCTTTTTTTGTAGAATACATATAAAATTATACATATATACATATATGTATATATGTAAAACATACATTGTATATTAATCTAACTGTCATTTAACTTACAAATGCCTTTAGGAACTGGCCCCCTCTGCCATTTCCCTTGATTATCAACATGAATAATCTGAAAAAATAAAAAAATATTTTGCATATAAAACTTTGCATTTTAAATTTACCATTAGTAAATCTAAGTCTGGTAAAAAATTTTTAAATGACTCACTCTTTCTGGAGGACAATCCTTCAAATCAACATCGCCCAATAGGTACGATTGCAAGTCTCTAAATGAAACATTTTAAATATAAACATTTAAAACATTATTTTAGCTTGTTTTTTAGAGCAAAATTTTTAAGCATATCTTTCAAAAAAAAATTGCTTTTAAGGTTTACTTTTAGCATTAACTAAAAATCCAAACTTCATGGATTTTACACGGAATTTTATTAAAAGCATAATTACTGAAACACTAGTTGGTTGTAGTTTTGCAATACACCTATTAGTTGTTTGTTTTTTGCAGATTAAAACACTAAACTCTGTTTTCTCTCACTTTTTTTTTTAATTTTCATTTATTTTTCAATATGCTGCTTATTAAGTTTCACATTTTTTTACAACTTAAAAAAAAAGTTTTATAAAAATTGACACATTCTTTTATCCTTTTTTTCACTTTTCTTCTCTGGCTTCTTTAATTTCAGATCTACTGTAGAGCTGTATAATTACCAAACTGCTAATCTGTTGGTTGTAGAGCTTTGCAACTTTAATTATCATCAAGACTTATAAAATTTTTTTAACTATATTTAAATCTTCTAAGCATATGTACTAATTTTTCTAAAATAAATTTCTATAAATAACTTAAGGAGATTGCTCAAGTTTCTTCTTCTTTTTCAAATAGTATAAAAACATGCTGTGTCATGTTATTTGACCCAAATTAAAAAAACTTACAAATAAATATTACAATAAAAATTTGAAACATACAACACACTGGCTGCAACATGAACCCAAAACTGAATGAAAACCTTTAACCATTTTCGAGCATGCCCTTGTTCAAGAAAAGCCGGAAGAATAACTTGAAGCAGCAACAACTCCAGCGACATCTCACTTATAGGAGCATCACTAGTTACAATAAAATAATAAAATAAAATCATATTTTAATGAATATAATATTTTGTGAGCAAAAAACAAGCTGCAAAACATACCCACTCAAGGACATATTGTAGGGAGTAAGACTTTTACAAGTATACTTTATTACTTTAACAGGAATCCAAACCAAAACTAAAATGGTTGTTCCAAAAACAACCTAGAGTATCAAAAATAATAATATGAAAAAATCAACAATGAAAATTTTAAAAGTTTCAATTTTTAAGTAACATTTTACACAAAAATTTACCAAAGAAAGCAAAAACCTTCTGGAATGTCCCAAGACACTAAGTCGAATCATCTTTAAAAAATATGAAAATAATAATAATTATTAAAAAAAAAAAAAAAAAAAAAAAAAAAAACAGGATTCAATAAACTAAACAGAACTCTAAAACAATAAACAACCTCTTTAACTGGATGGAATTGAGGATCATTGATATTACGAATAAACCACAATACACCTGGTCGTAATATCTAATTTATAAAATTATAATTAATAAATAGACTTTGAAGTGATATAATTTTAGGTGGACATAAGTGTTTTTGGAAAATGACAAACCGTTTTTGAAAAAAAAAACTATTTAACAACATATTGAACTAAAAACTTTACAATTTACGATTATTATAAAACAAACTTAGGAAAATCAACAAGTTTTAAATAAATAAATAATTTTCTGTGAAAAAAAAAAAACAACAACTTCTATTTACCTCTCTTACTAACATAACAAATGCAGCAAAGTAAAACACATAGAGCATTCCAGCTAGCCAATGTAAAAAAGTTGTAGTGCCTAATAAATGAAATCTTAATGTTAAAGCCTGAAGTTTATTATGAAAAAGTATTACAAAATCATATAGGGCGGTTTTTGTCACACGCCAAGGAGGGGGCTAAAAAGGTCTAAAAAAAAGAAAAAAAAGAAAAAAGAATATAATTATAACTTCCTTTTTTATTTTTTTGTACTTTAGTGTAATAATCAAGTTCATATACGTATAATTACATATAATAGTCAATTTCATTCTTCAGTATAATAGTCCAATTCTGTATAATAGTCAAGATTCTGTATAATCCCAAGATGGGGGCAGAGCTACTACCCCCATGCCCCCCCCCAAAAAAAAAAAATCTGTCACTGATATATATATATATATATATATATATATATATATATATATATATATATATATATATATATATATGTATATATATATATATATATATATATATATATATATATATATATATATATATATATATATATATATATATATATATATATATATATATATATATATATATATATATATATATATATATATATATATATATATATACATGGATGACTTTTAACAAAAATGAACCAAGTACAAAAATTTTTAACTGTGATAGATGACATAAAAAATAGTCATAACAAATTTGGGTTCTATGATATTTTAAAACTGTAATATATCACATATGCAGAGGATATTGCAGTTGGCTTTTTTTTGATAAATATTAAAAAACAATTCAATCACAATAAAATTTTATTTTATGCAAAACTGTTGATCTGCTCTTTTTTGTTGAATGTTGCCCATAAATCTACTATAGCTTATATTAAGCCTTGCTTTACATTGCATACTTAACCTTGCATAATATGTTGATGATGTTATACTAAAATAGGGAGCTGTGAGGGCATTTATAAGTATTTATTAAGTACATTTATTGACTGAGGACTTGTCCTTATCTAAAAGCATAACAAATTTCAGTTACCCAATTTATAAAAAGTATTGGAACTGAAATTTCGGTATCAAATCAAGTGATTTTACCAAGTAGCGAAGTATGACAAGTTTTGTTGCAATTTATAATTTTTATACACAAGTTTATGAAACAGAGGAGACTTTTTAGCTGGGATGAAAGTAAATTACTTACTAAGATGAAAGTAAATTACTTACTAAGATGAAAGTAAATTACTTACTAAGATGAAAGTAAATTACTTACTAAGATGAAAGTAAATTACTTACTAAGATGAAAGTAAATTACTTACTAAGATGAAAGTAAATTACTTACTAAGATGAAAGTAAATTACTTACTAAGATGAAAGTAAATTACTTACTAAGATGAAAGTAAATTACTTACTAAGATGAAAGTAAATTACTTACTAAGATGAAAGTAAATTACTTACTAAGATGAAAGTAAATTACTTACTAAGATGAAAGTAAATTACTTACTAAGATGAAAGTAAATTACTTACTAAGATGAAAGTTACTTAGGAGAAAGAAAATTGTTAAAAGATTTTGCTTATTATAGTTGTGATTTAAATTTCTATTAGAAAAAACAAAAAACTTTTTACAGACATTTTTATCTACATAAATAACAAACAACATTGTTATTGCTATCAGAATTGTTAAATAAAACTGCTAGAGGTCTAAGATTAGAGGTTACAATCAAAAATTTGACCAGTTAAACTTGCTGTTTGAATAAAAATGTTTTTTTTAAAGCCTTTTCAAGGAAACCATATATAGGATAGCGTCTAAAAAAAAAACAAAAAAAAAACAAAATAAAAAACAAAAAAAAAAAACAACAAAAAAAACAAAAAAAAAAGAAATTTGTTATACACATTTAATAACTAAATTTCAAAAAGGGTTTGCGCAAAACCTTTTACCAAGGCAGCAAACAACAAGTAGTTGTTTAAATCTACGATCTACAATTGCTTGATTGTTGAAATACTCAATTATTATTGCTATTGTTAAACACAACTACAAAATGTTTCTTAGCAACAGCTGATTGGCAATCTAATATTAGAAAGATTAGAAACAATTGCACTTTCTCATATTAGAAAGATTAGAAACAATTGCACATTAAATTTCATTTGAGCATGAAGTGTCACATTTTAGGTTTATTTAAAAAAAATTATAACTCATTCAGCAAATAAATAAATTTATTTATTAATAATAAAATAAATTAATATTTTTTATACTACAATATTATTTATTTTAATCTATTTAATTAACACAATTTAAAAGCTTTTATTAAACTACACTTTAGACCAAAAGATTTTTTCATTTTTATGTTGTTTTTTTTGTTTAAATTATTTATGCTTTTTAACTTGAAAATAAACTGTCAAGAAAAACATATTTATATCATATAAAATTAGTTATTATTTACTTTTTTTTCTCAGTCCAAGGTTAAACTAAAAACACAAATATTAGGGGCAGAAAGTAATTTTAAGTAAGAAATTAAAAAATAAAAAACAGAATATTTTATTAATTATTTATTCATGACGAAGAAAGAAGCAAGTTTCTGGATTTTAACTTAAGTGCAAACTCAAAAAAAAAAAAAAGAAAAAATTGCTTACAGTCAATTTTTCACTCAGAAAAGTTTTCTCAGGAAAAAAAAAAGAAAACCTAATAATCCTAGGGATAAGCACACTGATCAAAAAATAAAAAATAATCACAAATCAATTTTAATAATCATAAATAATCAATTTACAAAACTTAATGTTTAAGTATGACAAAATTCATATTTTAAAACTTTTGTTTAGTCTAATTGTAAAAAAAATTAATCACTCACTAAACAGATAAGTGCTCTTATAAGTGCATTTACACTACATATTAGTGCATCTACATTAAGAAGATGCTCATAAAACTACAAAGATAAGTGCTCTACTGCATCATAATCCAAATTGGGAATGTATATCTCACAGTAATAATAAAAAATTAAAAGAAAAAAATAACTCATTTACTTACCTGGAGCATATATGAAACTCTCTTTACGGTCTTTTAAAGTAATTGCAAACAATGGCTAAAAATATTTCAATAGTCTTATAAACATATATGCCAAATTCAAAAAATCAAAATTCATGAATCAAAGAAAAGAAATTTTTATTTAAACAGATACAAAAAAAAAAAAAAAAAAATTTTGAAGTTAAAATTTTTTTTAAGTTTAGTTAAAAAGGCACAAAAAAATTTGATATTTTGTCCAAAGAAAATATGTACCAATGAGCATATATCCAACCACCAGCCACATATTAGCGGAAAAAGTCCTATTTCTAAAACCATCAGTAAGGAAACCTACGCATATAAATAAAAATACTTGTGCATATATATATATATATATATATATATATATATATATATATATATATATATATATATATATATATATACATATATATATATATACATATATATATATATATATTTTTTTTTTATATTAATTCACCTCCTCAAGGCCGAGAAGGCCACTACAGACGAGGAGGCTACTTATTTGTGGTTATAACCCTCTCTCAACTCTATAACTCCGAAACACAAACCTTGACGAGCAAGGCCGCTGCGCGGAGAAACGAGTTGAGCGCGGTACTACCAGGGATGTGGTGGGGATCGAACTCGGAACCACTCGTTTATGAAGCGAGCGCTCTACCACTACACCACTACCGCATTTATATATATATATATATATATATATATATATATATATATATATATATATATATATATATATATATATATATATATATATATATATATATATATATATATATATATATATATGTATATATATATATATATATATATATACACATACATACAGTAAGGGACCATCAGTAAGGAAACCTACGCATATAAATAAAAATACTTGTGCATATATATATATATATATATATATATATATATATATATATACACATACATACATACATACATACATACATACATACATACATACATACATACATACATACATACATGCATCCATCCATACATACATACATACATACATACATACATACATACATACATACATACATACATACACATATATATAGAGAGAGATTTTCAGTAAAATGTTGTAAGATGTCAATTGTAGGATCCACTTAACTATGAACATAGGTTTACAGCCTTTTTATTTTATTTTGCATTATCGCTCATGTCTAAACTGAGCAACACGTTAATGGGATTTGAGATATTACCATAGTCATCGCAATAAACCACAGCAAAAACACAAAACCACAGCAATTTTTAATAAATTACAGTTATACCACGGTAATGGTAACAACAGTAATAACTCCAGTAGTAATAACAAATGTTAAATATGATAGTTAAAAAACTAAAATTTAGCTACCATTATGAAGTTATTTCTGCATGGTTTGAAATATGTTGTTTCTCAAAGAATAGGTATGCGTAACAATAATTGAACCATGAACAGTTTCAATTTATAAATTTATAAAAAAATGGTTCAAATAAGATTTTTATATATGAGTTATTATGGTTTTTGAAATTTGCTTTATTGATGTGGATAGGGTGGAGACAAACTGGATGGAGATGGGTGGGGATGCAAACAAATTTAATGGGAATGGAGTGGGGGTGAAAAAATTTATATGGGAAAAGAGATGGTTTCTGTACTCATGTCACTCTCTAGTCTAAAATAAATAAAAAATAATTTACTTGGATATAAAGTCTCATGCTTAAAGTCTACAAAGATATTTGTGTGTGTGTATATATATATATATATATATATATATATATATATATATATATATATATATATATATATATATATATATATATATATATATATATATATATATATATATATATATATATATATATATATATATATACACATACAAACATATATAAATTGTTTCTTTTAATCCCTTACCCATACAGTTAACTTATTGATTTTTTCAGAAAACCTAAATGGGTTAATGTTTTTCATCCTCTACTGAAAACTGTGTGAATAAATCTCTTTGATTTAAAAATAGAAATTTTTATTTCTTGTCAATTTGAAGTCAAATTTCACCCTAACCATGATTTTGCATAACCCATAATTACCCATGATCCTTCTTGTGCAAATACTATTTCTAACTGTAATCTTGTTTTTAATTTTTTTTTAACCAGAATAACTCTTTAAAAAACAAATATCTTTTTTTAATTTGAAAAAATGCAAAAAATTGTCTGCCGAGTTCATTACTCTCTGATTACTCAATCTTGTATATTGCATTTTCTCAGATTTTTTGGAATAAGTAACTTAATGTTGTTAGGTGCAGCCTTACAGGAAGTTAATTTGTTTATAAAAAAAAAACTAATATTAAATCAACTCATTTTAGAAGAAGCTTTCCATAACTTTCACTTGAAAAAAAAAATTTTTAACTTCAGAATATTAATAGATATACAAATTTTTGTGCACATAGCCTTGCACTAAACACTCATCAAATGATATTTTGATGACATTACTTAAAGTGCCAAAGTAGGCTATTATACTGCAAAGTAGGTTGAGAGACCCAAAATTATAACAGTAGTTGGATATCAATTTTAAAAAATTATAAAAAACAACTTCAAATCAAAACTGTCATTTAATAGCATATATATATATATATATATATATATATATATATATATATATATATATATACATATAGATATACATGTATACATGTATATATATATATATATATATATATATATATATATATATATATATATATATATATATATATATATATACATATATATATATATATATATATATATATATATATATATATATATATATATATATATATATATACATATAGATATACATGTATACATAATTACGCTATTAAATATATATTAAATATAACACAAGCACACACACACAAGTGATTTGATAAGTGATTATCTACTAATTTATACAGACACACACACATATATATATAACATGTATATTGCTTTATTGATTTCATCAAAAATTGAATAAATACTCAGTTTTACCAACCTACCTTTAATATTACGTAGCACAATCCAATTGTTTTACGAACTCTAAAAATTATATACATAACAATAATATTAAAAATAACAATTCCTAAGTAAAATCAAATATAATCATATCAATATTAAAATATTAGATTAAAGTGAGAGTTGTAATAACAACTTTTCATAATAAATTCATATATGGTTTCATTCTTTGAATTAAATTCAAAATTAAAGAAAGCTCAGAGCAGCTTTAAAAGTTAGAGCAGGTATTTAAAAACAAACACCCCACCAGACATCTTGTTTTCTATAAATAAAAAAAAACTGAGAACGTTTATAACAACACCAACACTTTTCACATCTAGACTTGGAGTATTAATATTTTGTAAATTGAGTTTTGCTTTTTCTTAAATAAATTGCTAAGTGAGGCCACAACGAGGTAGTAAGGCTAGAAAAACTAGTGAGTCTACTGTACTCCAAGGATCTATTTTAAAACTGATTTTATATTTATATTTTAGCATCTGATAATTCATACAGTTTCTGATACTATGTATACTTACTAATACTACTATTCCTAATATTTTATATAACTCTTGGAAATTTTTGTAGTTTTGATCTGCATATGTTTATAATGATTCCTATAGTTTATATTGTTTGTTTTATGTATACAGTTTATTTTACTTATATTGTTTTTTTTTATTTATATTGTTTTTTTTTATTTATTTGTTTTTTTTTATTTATATTGTTTATTTTATTTAAATTGTTTATTTTATTTATAGAGTTTATTATTTGATGCGTTATATGAATAATTATATTGTTTAGAAACATAAAGTTAATGGAATTTTGTAAATTTTTGTTTGCAATTATATATTACTAATATTTTAAAGTTCGCAATATTTTGTGAAGTTATTGACATTGGTTGTAATTTCTAATAATTTGTGTAGTTCTTGATGCTTTATACAGTTCTCATTGTTTCACATAACTCCTAATGTTATATATAGTTGCAAATACTTTACTTTAGAAATACAGTAAAAGGATAAGACTTTTCTGAATAACATGTCAAGTGAGAATGAGTTTTGGTTGATGGAACTAGAGATACATATACTATCATGGTCACTGCTTATTTAAGCAGTGACCATGATAGTATTTGTAGAAAAGAAAAAGAGAAGCAACTCTATGGCAATAGGAGAGAGGCTCAAGCTTAGAAGATAAAACAGGTCCAACTAATATTTGCAATGCATTTTTGGACGTCTAAAAATGCATTGTAAATGAAGTTGGATCTGTAATATAAGGTTGTCAGGAAGATGTAATGTAGATAAAAACAGGATCAAGAATAGAACCTTGAGGTACCCCAGATTTTAATGGAAATGAAAAAGAGTGCTAGCATGACCTTTAAAGCAATCAATAGATAATTAATAAAAAAAGAAACCTTACTAATAATAGAAAGAAGACAGATCGGACAATGGTTTGAGAGGTCAGAATGTTCTGCATAGTTTTTAAAAATTGGAACCACAGATACTATTTTACGGCAGGCAGGAAAACAAGATTTAGTCAAGCACTTATCAAATAGTTTAGAGAGAATTGAAGAGAGTTCTGGACACTTTTGTAAGACTGAATGACAGGAATATTGTCCAAATCACAAGCTGTAAAAGAGTTTAATTGAGGTTTGAACAATTGAGGTAAGACTTGAACAATGGAAGCAGGAGTGATTTGAATGTCTAACAATGAGTTAACCTATTTAGCTGGAAAGATAGGAAGAGTATGGCCATAAGATTTAAGAGTTGAATTAGAAGAAAAGATCTTTGCAAATAGTTCTGCCTTATCCTTGGGAGAGGTAATAAGATTGATCTCATGAAATAGAAATGAAATGTTATCTTTGCTAACGACACTCTTGAAGATTTTCCTTGAAGTCTCTGGACCTTCTAAGACAGCTAGCCTACCTTCTGACACAAGATTTATCAAACTGGGATTAATGCTTAACATCAGACAGCACCATTTTACATTGATATCTTGCAATAATAAATAGGTATTTGTTCTCAAGAAAGTTGTTCTTATAAACAAATAAAAAATGATTACAATTAGATGTAGCAGTTGCAGAAGAAGCTGAAAACCATAGAGTAGAATGAGGCTTGACTTGGAACCAATAATAAGGAACAAAAACTTCTGATATCTGCCCGGATCCAGGTTACATAGGAGGCATATTTTTTGCATCAAAGAAAATCACAAAAAGAATCCAAAGAAAAAGTACGAGATGAAAGATTAATAGAGATCATTGCATGGTCAGAAGTACCTAAAGGAGAACAAGGAGAAACTGAACACAAACAAGGGTCAGAGATAAGACACAAACCAACAATCAAAGGTAACTGGTTAAGATCAGAAAAAGGAATAGCAGAAATTAAATTAGTCTTAGTAAGAGCAAACAAGTTGGCTGATTTTGCAAGAGATAAGATTTAACAGATGGAAAGTTACTTTGAAGACCACAAATATATTGTGAAAGATATATTGAAACAGTTAGATTGTGGAAATTGTTAAACAGTTAGATTGTGAATGAATATATATATATATATATATATATATATATATATATATATATATATATATATATATATATATATATATATATATATATATATATATATATATGATAAAATAATTTAAATGAAAAAAATACAACTTTATGATGGAACTAATAGTTTCATGCCATTCGGCAATCATCAGCCATATTATTCATGTAAAAAATAAAAACCGTTATAAAAATACAAATTTAGCGTTGCAACGGCATCTGACGTCAATTGTACGTGATCCGATATTTGCTAATCGCCGGAATCAAAGTTAGATAGTAAAAATTTTTTCCTATGCCTACAAGCAGAAACCAATTCACTTTTTTTGTTAAGTAGTATTCGGCTATCAAAAGTCATAATAAAATTCTTTTCATTGATGCAAAGGTTTCACTTTTTTGTAGATGGGTTAAAAGATTGGCATCTTTTAATTATGCTCCACTTAATTATAGGCATGTTACCCGCGTCTTTAAGTTTCCAGATTTCCTTGGAAAGTTCCGTATTATTCCTATACCTGGTTGCATTAAATGATTTAAGATGGTTTGCAAATCTGAGCTTGAATGTGTTTTCACTAATTCCGATGTAGGATTTTTCAGTAAGACTGGTATTAGGTGATTCTAAAGTGGCTTTATAAACAACTTAATTAAATTCAAATTAATTAAAAACATACAGTTTAGGATTGTTCCATGTAGCTTTCACAATAAATTAAAAAAAGACATTTCTACTATTCGAGAATCAACATATATTTACACTTATGCTGACAAAACATCAAACTTATATAAATTATCAAAAGACGAATACAATAAGTTATTAATGAACGCCACCACATCTAATTATAAAAAAACCAACCCTATAATAAAAGATCGCATTAATAAAGAAGGAAAAATTATTCTTAAAAATCATGAAGTTTTTAACAAAATCAATATAAACAGTTCTTCCAATGGTTTCATTACATTAAAAGACCATAAACCTAATTTTTTAAATAATCCTACTGTTCGTCTAATTAACCCAGCTAAGAATGAGGTTGGTAGAATAAGTAAACATATTTTATCAGGTATTAACACCAACCTTAGAAATATTTTGCGATTAAATCAGTGGAATAGTACACAAAATGTAATAAATTGGTTCAAAAACATCAATGACAAACATTTTTATAAATTCCTTATTTTCGACATCGTTGACTTTTATCCTTCTATTAATGAAAAGCTACTTATCGATTCCATAAAATTTGCAGAACAATACGTTTCCATTGATGCTGATCATAAATCTTTAATTCTCCACACGCGTAAATCTTTATTATTTACCAATGACCAAGTTTGGATTAAAAAATCAAGTGGTTTGTTTGATGTTACCATGGGTGCATTTGATGGAGCGGAGGTGTGCGAATTAGTTGGTATTTTTCTTCTTTTCCAGATTTCGCAATTTTATAATAAAACTGATTTTGGATTATATAGAGACGATGGCTTAGCCGTATTTAAAAACGCAAGCGGTCCAAAAATGGAAAAAATTAAGAAGCATTTTACTCAAATATTTAAACAAAACAACCTCAGTATTTCCATTCAATCTAATATGAAAATTGTTAATTACCTTGATGTTACATTTGATCTTAATAACAACACTTTTCAACCTTACCATAAACCTGATAGTACGTTAAATTATATCCATGCTAATTCCAACCATCCACCAAGCATTTTAAAACAATTACCAATCTCAATTGGGCATAGGTTATCTTCCAATTCTTCAAGCGAAAAAATATTCCAAAAGACTGCTCTAATTTATAATGACGCATTAGAAAAATCTGGATTTCACACCATTCTCCAATATCATTCAAATCTAAATTCTTCTATTACTAATAAACGAAAAAGAAATATATGGTTTAACCCTCCTTACAGTAAAAATGTGATAACAAAAATTGGACATATTTTCTTAAACTTAATTGACTTGCATTTTCCATTACATCATAAGCTCCACAAAATATTCAACAGAAACACAATAAAAATTAGTTACAGCTGCATGCCAAATATTCGATCAATAATTAATTCACACAACCAACAAATTTTGCGCAACAAACTTAACGATAATGATATAAACTGCAACTGCATTAATAAAACCACATGCACGTTAAATAATAAATGTCTATCAAAAAATGTTGTTTATAAAGCCACTTTAGAATCACCTAATACCAGTCTTACTGAAAAATCCTACATCGGAATTATAACACATTCAAGCACAGATTTGCAAACCATCTTAAATCATTTAATGCAACCAGGTATAGAAATGATACGGAACTTTCCAAGGAAATCTGGAAACTTAAAGACGCGGGTAACATGCCTATAATAAAGTGGAACATAATTAAAAGATGCCAATCTTTTAACCCATCTACAAAAAAGTGTAACCTTTGCATCAATGAAAAGTATTTTATTATGACTTTTGATAGCCGAATACTACTTTACAAAAAAAGTGAATTGGTTTCTGCTTGTAGGCATAGGAAAAAATTTTTACTATCTAACTTTGATTCCGGCGATTAGCAAATATCGGATCACGTACAATTGACGTCAGATGCCGTTGCAACGCTAAATTTGTATTTTTTATAACGGTTTTTATTTTTTACATGAATAATATGGCTGATGATTGCCGAATGGCATGAAACTATTAGTTCCATCATAAAGTTGTATTTTTTTCATTTAAATTATTTTATTATAATTTGATCTATTTTTTTAAAAAAAGATATTGATCACTCTTAAACAGACAAGAGTTGTATTTCCAGCAGTATACAACATTTATCAATAAATATATATATATATATATATATATATATATATATATATATATATATATATATATATATATATATATGCATGAGAATAAAAGCTTCATTGTCAATCATTTTTTCGAATGGAAAACATACCAAAATCGAATATGTATAATATACTAAAAAGAAAGGACTAGAAAATATAGGATCAAAAAGAAAAGTTAGAAGTGGCTGCAAAACAAAAAAGAAATCTAAAAATCGGATGAAGTGTCTTTAAAAAATGATTAATCAAAAGGATTATATTTCACAGTGCAATCCTTGTTTTAAATAAAAAAACTGCTAAGCTCAATAGCTCTTTGTGATTTTGATGTTATAAAATTATCTTTATTTTTTTTATTAAGGACACTAACTTTTTAAAATACTGCAATAAAATAAATTACCGCAAAACAAGTATATTTTCGTAATTAAGAAAAACAAATTTTGTAAATGTACATATTGTGGAATTTCTATTTTGTTTCAATTTTTTAATTTGAAATAATTTAATTTAGTTTTTTTTATTACCATTTAACATAAATTAATTTCTTTCTTTTCTCAACTTTGTATAAATGAATTTTAAAAAAATTTATTACTTTTTTTGATTATTTCTTAAAATTGTGGCTTTGCAAACAACAATTTTTGACTTTTGAAAAGTCATTAAAAAACAAAAAATATTTGTTGCAAAGAAAAAAACTCAAGTTAAAAACTTTACCAGCACTTATTTTTTGAATTTTTTTAATCAAAACTCTTTCTTAATTATGGAAGGAAATTTATGTTTTTACTTTATTGATATGGCACAATCTGTTATTTATACAAAGCTGATGTAACTATTATAAAATATTATTTTTCTAAACTATTATTTTTTGAAAATAAAACTTATAGATATAAACGAATACATTGCAAGAGCTTCAAGCAAAAAAAAATAATAATAGCTATATCCAAAAAAGAGGTATTTTTTTAATTATAAAAAACAAACTTTTTATAAGATGACATTTAAAGTTTGTAATGTTTTTTCATTTTTTGATAAAATGAAAAACATGTTATAAATATCATTATATCAAAACAAACAGACAAACTATTAAAAATATCAAGATTGGCGCTAGTAAAATTAAAATTTAAAGTGTACTATTTTTTAGCTAATTATTTTCTTGTTTTGTTTTTATTTATTTTTTTAATTTGGTAATTATTTTCATTATCGTTTGTTATGAGAAATTGTCTAAATAAATATTCTTGCAAGATGACGAATTAATTTTTTACAGGCCAATAAATTTTTTTTTTTTTTTACTGAACATTTTTGATGGAAAAGTTAGGTTAATAAAAATAAAATTTTCTTTGATTTTACATTTGTAAATAGCGCGAATATCAAATGTAATTGTCATGCAAACTTTTCTACATAATGGCCATTAAACTTCATAATGGCCATTAAACTTCATAATGACCATTAAACTTCATAAGTGTTTTTTATAATGTTAACTATTTATTTTATCTTACCGCTTGTTTAAATATTAAAAAATGATAAAAAAATGGCTAACATGAAATGGCTTACTGCTTACACAAAATGGCTTATAGCGTAAGTAAATGGTACGGTAGTTTACACTTTAAAACAAAGCCTCCAGTGCAGTTTTGCAAAACGATTCAATGCAACACAACCTTACATATGCAAAATTATCAATAAAAACACTAGTATTCATTGTCATAAAAAACTAAAACACCTTAAAGAACACAGGTGCAAAAAACAGCTGTTTGTTTGAAATACTGCAGATTAGTTTTAATTTTTTGGCGAAAAATAATTTTTATTGACAATTAATCATACTTTTATTTATCATACTCGAACGATGAATCATACACTTTTATTTAAACCAATTTCTGGAAACGCTGGATTCTACTTTTCTGACATAAATGGAGCACCAAATGATGTAAGGTTAAAAAAGACAGATTCTCTAAGCATTAAATAGCTCCATCGGGCCGAGCAATCAATGAAAATGCCTTGTTGAATTAGAGAAATTTATTAAAAAATATCATAAAACTGACAGCATCATTCTCTGGCCTGATCTTGCTTTGTCACATTATTCACATAAAGTACAAGATTATCTAAAATTAAAAATATTAAATTTATACCAAAAGTACATAGCCCTGCTAATGTGCGAGATTTTCGACCAATTAAAGATATTCAATCTGAACTAAAAAGATTGGTGTAAAATAAAAATTGTCAAGCTAAAAATCTAGATAAACTTAAAATACAATAGAGTTTTCAACCAAAAAAACGGACATAAAACACGTACATCGGCTAGCTGCCACAATATTAACAAGAGTGAACACTTTCATTGTCATGGTATGAAAAACTCATAAATTCATTTTATTTTATTATTCAGACTTTTTTTTTGTTATACTTTTTAAATTAATAAAATTAATCATTCCATTAAAAAGCATACAATTTTTAGTTTTGTCCAGATTTTTAGTTATCACAAATTATATATATATATATATCTCATTAATTTTTACTTTGTTGCAGATCATAAGTCACTCAACATTTTCCTCCTGGACACTAGAGAACAGGAAAAATAGAGATTAAAGCCCAAGTTCTTTTAGGACTCTACATCCCTGCATATAATATATAAGATTTTAACAGCAAAAAACAGTTTTAACATAAAAATCAATAAAATAGTAACTTACCGTTTAAAAGACGTATAGCGCAATGCAGACTAGTAATATACAGTTAAAAAAAAAACCTTTGTGAATCATAATTTTTGGCTTTCAATTATATAAACTAAAAATATTTTTAAAATATTTTAAATTTTATCTATTATATTTAATCATAAACAAACATCATAAAAAATCTAGTTTAAAAATACTATGAAGTATATATTAACACTATCTTATCATTGAAAATTACTTGTTAATTGGATATTTTTTATTACTTTTTGTACATAAGAGATTTAAGGTGAAAAGCTTTTTAGAATCTCACAAAAATAAGTTACTGAATGTTTTTGTACCAAAAATCAAATGATTTTAAATATCCATTTAGCATACATGAATTATGCGCTGAATGGAAAACTAAATTGAAATTAAATACATGAAAAGATACATAAACAAGAATTAATGAAATAGCAATAAACAGATAGCCACAAAGAAGGATTACTCCACCATCAAAATCAGTGCCAGTAATCTAGCCAAATTAAAAATGATTCTAATTAAACATAATTATAGAATATAGGTTAAATATAATTAAAATAAGATAGAACAAATTAAAAATACATAAGCTTTTTTGGTTGAATGCCACTTAAATACAAAATACAATAAAGAATTTTATATATCAGATACCTCCCCATTAATTTTTGCCCATGAAAGTAAAGCTTGCCCAACATGATAAGGACAGAAAGCTATAAAAATAAATAGTTAAAAATTATTTCTTTTTCAAACTAACTTTTTAAATTTGAGTTTATTTTTCCAAGAACTTTACAAGCAAAAATATTCACAAATAAAAAAGAATTTATATAATCCATTTAACAATATGGTTAAATTTAAACTATGGTTAAACTGGTCATAACATGAGGTCCCCTGGTAAATATCAAATTAAAAATAAGGTTTGCTTTTTTTTTTTTTACTTAGAAAATGATAACCACTATAATTCATTATTTACCACTATAACTGCTTTATTATTGCTTGCTGGGTCCGAGCACAACCTTGCTGGGTTCCATATGTTAATGAAACATTATTAGATATTATTACTAGGGATGGTAGATTAATCGGTATTTCTAATTATTCAATTAACTATTAAATTTCAAAAAATCAATCAATTAATCAGTTTTGTTTTTTTTTTGAAATTAATTCTTACAGTATAAAAAAGGTAAATACAACTACTTATGATTTTATTTCTCTTTTTTCATCAGATACGCATAAGTTATTCATCAGATACGCATAAGTTATTCATCAGATACCCATAAGTTATTCATCAGATACGCATAAGTTATTCATCAGATACACATAAGTTATTTATCAGATACGCATAAGTAATTCATCAGATACGCATAAGTTATTCATCAGATATGCATAAGTTATTAAAAGTGCCATCATTAATAATTGATTATTGATATTAGAAATTGAAAATCTTTCTCTAGTTGCTTTTTTTTTTTGCTGAAGCTTATGAGCAATTTCTAATTTAATGGGTTTGCACAGTTTATAACAGTTGCTCTATAGTATGTCGATCATCAGGGATTTTAAGTCTCAAAGCTTTCCAGCCATTTTTAATATTTTTACTGTTGGCTAAAGTTGAAATAAGAATAAGATCTACAGTAGGCAGCAACATTTGGTCAGACTTTCGCAGGAAGGCGTGCAATTTCACGTCTTTATATGACCACGCAAAAAATAATGTTTTAATGATTTGACCACCGCTTTTCAAAATTTAAAAATGCACTACAAAAGCTTACCTAAACTTATCTAAAAAAAAATTGTAAAATAAAAAAAATCCTAACAAAAGAGAAAATAAATAAAACAAAAACACAAAAAAATAAATATATATACAACCCAACTAAAACAAAACTCATTAAACTAAAATGCTTGAAAAAAAAAAGTCTATTTAATTTATGCATTAAAAAACCATTTCAATCTTTATTTTAGCATTTGTACTTTTTTTTTAAATATGTTTCAAAAGATAAACATTTCTCATAAAAAATACATAACTATATAAATAAAACAACAACACTTTAATAATACTTATTATTTTTTATTAATACTTATTTTAAAAATTAATTAGAAGTGTTTTGATACTTCATTGAAAAGCATTTCGATAATTTAAAAGCTTTCATAATATAAAAGATCAAACTTATTTAATTGTAACAACTTTCTAAAACTTTTTTTTCAACGAAATTTTATCTATCTTTTTAAATAAATTAACTTTATTTAATTATTCTTATATTAAAATTTGTTAAAAAGACTTTCGTAGTCGTAGAATGTCATCGTTTATAAAAACAAACCAATTTTTTAATTTTTAATAAAGTTTATTATAGAAATGCACACTTAAACAATTTATTTATTATAAATGAAAAAAATATATACAACTCAATTATATTAAAAAAAAAAAAAACATCAGTAAAAATTGATACTTAATTTAAAAGCGTTTTACTATTATAAAAACGTTTGTTAAGAAGTTTTGATGTAAAAAATTTCACTTTTTCAGAATATTTATTTAGCGCGTTTTTAAAGTGTTTTTTGAATTAGCCGCGGTCAAATCGTCATAGCAAAATGTAATTTCCCTGGTCATATAAAGACGTGAAAATGCACGCTTTCCTGTGAAAGCCTGCTTGGCTGCATTTCTTTAACAATTTTGGTCGGAAAATTTTACTTTTGTGCACTAATTGATATAAGAAACTTTAAATTGATGAAAAAATGCTTCAAAAAATAAAAAATGCTTCAAACATCAGAATAACTTTTTCCAAATGACATTGTAAATGGTGGATAGGCTACTGCAAAGTTAAATGTATAGGTTGTAAAAAAATAATCTAGAATAATAAAGGAGAGATGAGCTGAGATCTTTTTTCTACATTAGTGCAAATGAAAATATAATTTAGGATAACGGATGATAGCTGAAAACAAGGTAGTTGGTTAAGATAGATAAAGATATAAATTCTTTAAACTGCTTGCTGTTAAAGAGTATATCAATTCAATAAATTATTTCACATTTAAAAATAATTTTATTAAATTTTGAGGTAATTTTATTAAAAACTATTGCTTCTGTGAAGATTATATTTTGATGTTGCATTTGGTAGATTCTAAGAAAAATTAAAAGTTATTTTATTAATTTGTTAGATAAATTTAAACTATTGCATTTGATCATCTCTTATTCTGCAAACCTCGAGTAATGTAGTTTTCAGTATTAAATTTTTTCCTATGGCAGATATTTTATCTCTGGTAATGTCTTAATCATATGACATTTTCTATCATTGCAATATTTTTTTCTCTAAGCATTTTTAAAAACTTTTCGTGTTATCAAATGTCTAGTGCAATGTAATGTAACCATTTTACATTATAGAATGTTTTTTTAAAAAAAAAAAAACTTCATAAAACAAATATTAAAAATATTTTAAACTGTTTCGCCATTTATAGCAACAATATTTATTTACACTTTTACAACTTTTTTCTTTTTTAACACTGCCAGAAACTGCAGCTTATAATAATAATTTAAAGAAATTCCAAAAAATTTAAATATTTGTCTTGCTCAAAGTGATGAACACTCCTTTTTGATGATGCTTAACAAAGTAATTTTTTTAATTTCATTTATTTTTTAAATATTTTTTATTTTTCTTAGTAAACATAATTGGTTTAATACTAAATTAACCAATCTAATTCAAACATTCAAACATTTTTATGTATACTTATATTTATTATAATAAGCTATATTAAATTCTCAAATATTTATATGTACATTGTACATTGTATAAAAGTAATTTTATAGTTACACAAAAAATTTTCAAAAGCAAAAAATATTAAAACAGATTATTAGATACTATCAGCAACAGTTTTTAACATTTTTAAAATAGACATAGAAGTGTCACAGGTTCTTCTAGACCTTCTAAAAATAGTAAGAAAAAGAGAATAATAAATAGAGATTTTTAAACAATAATCTTTAAAAATGTTCAAGTTTTTTTTTTATATCAATTTAAAAATTTAAATACAAAGAACTTTTAGAAATAAAATTAGCGTTTTTTAAAAGGGTGGATTTGCTCAAAATGCTTTGAGTACATTTATCCTTTAAAAAAAAACTGGTTCAATTATCCTTAATTAAAGTTATTTTGGGGAATATGAGAAGTAAAAATATAACACCATAATAGAAAAAACTTTGGTTCACTACTAATGAAATAAAATATACCAAAGACCAAAACAAAAGTTGTATTCAAAGAAATGATCCAAAAAACATGTTCCTAAAAGAATGAAAAATGTTTCCTAAAAAAATTCAAAATTATAAACTTATATGAATAAATTTGCTAAAATTAGAATAAAAAAATAGTACATTAATAAAACAACCAACATAAGAAATTAAATAAACAAAAGAAATAAAAACACTGGTATAAACATTCCAAACTCATTTGTAACTTACCAAAAAAACAAACGATCCATCAATGCCTAAAAACTAAAAACCATTACAAAATTTAATTTAACAACTAATGAATGCTTGATGGTTTCTTTAAAAAACAAATTTACTTTTATTAAGGCTGCAAACAATTACTTAATAAGTTGGGACAGGTGGCAAAGAAAAGAGTTAAAGAACAAGGAAATTGTTAACAGAGGATTAATCGGTTAACAGGACTTAAAATACTGCAAAATATATAAGTTAGCAAAACATAAAAATGGGAAAATATTCTAAACCACTGATGATCTAAAAAAAAACTGAATAAAACTTGAGCATGAAGAAACAGATACAGTAAATGCAACCTGCTGGAAAACAAGTTATACAAGATATCTAAAAAAAGTCATTATTTTTTTGTCTGGATTGACAATAGCATCAGCAAATAGAGCTATATGATCAGCAAATAGTATCATCAACATCAAACTGTATTATCAACATCAAAGCCACTTAAAAATTAGGATTGTTGAGAAGATCATTAATAAAGAAGAAAAACATGAGACTAAAGACCTTGTGTTACCCCATAGGTTACTAAAAATGAAAAAGCTAGTTGTCCATCAAAAACAATCTAAAAATGTTTCAGATAAACGCCTGTGATAGTAACATGTTCAATGACTTTGATTATCAAGGTTCATGTTGCAGAGTTAATGAGTTAAAAAAGATTTTTAACCGCAATTAAGTTTACGATAAGCCACAATGATAGGCCTCTTTGACTGTAGTGACCCTCCTTGACTGTAGTGGCCCTATTATTGGCTTCTTCAACAAATTTTTCATACAATGAATTGACATTGACACTATTCAATAATTTCGGTAAAATTTTGTAACTATAAATTTTTGCATATTGAATAACTGATGACTTTAATGAATATTTGAAGCCATAATTATTTTGTGATGTATTTGATTTGGGGTTTTGCAAATATCTCATAAGTTATACTAAAGCTTTTTTGTATTCTTCATTGTATCGCTTTTTGAGGGAATCTAGCATCACTACACTTAAGTTAGACATTTGTTAAGAATGGTTTTTGAACAAAAACATGCGAACACCTTCACTGGTCAGAATAATTGAACTATCTTTACTTAGCTCATTAACAACCAACTCAATAGGTTTTAACATTTTTAAAATATCTTCTAAAACTTTAAAAATGACTTCATAAAATCTATTTGTTCCAATGTCCAAAACTGCTTTTTGAATGCATGGTTTCAATTTTACCAACCTTTCAATCATGGGAACTAAAGAGTTCCAACAAATTTTTATGTCAAGTTTTGCACCAGTTTTTTATTTTCTTGTTCGAAAATATGCTTTTGCAATATGAAGCTACAAAATGCTTGACAATTTAATAAACTTAATCAGTTTACGTGAACTATTCAATACAGACTTGATGTCATCTTGAAATGATCTGACAGAATACTTTGAGATGACATCAAGTCAGAAAAAGATGCAGATGAATTTGATAATGCAAACAATACCAAAGCATTTTTTTGTAATCTTTGGAAGATATGATTCACATTCTAATTATAATGATAATCTTTAGAGATTGAATCACATAGAGAAAACTGCTCATGGAAGCAGCAACAGAAGTTCTTTTTGCTGCTTCCATGAGCAGTTCTCTATGATATTTTGCAAAAACTCTATGATATTTTGCAAAAACTCTATAACTATTATGCAAAAACTTATTTGTCCATAATATATATAAAGTAAAATAAATGTAACGCAAATAAAATTATATTACTTGTATATTAATTATTAATAGATATATTAGATATAAGTAGATATATAAAATATTATAATTAAATGAATAATTTTTATAATGCTAAACAATTAGCATTATAAAAAGTTTCTTATGTTTAAACTATTATTATAAAAATTTAAGTTAATGCTACCTTCATTCATGCGGAAAAATAATGTCCAAAGGAATTGTAATTTCCAATCATTAATACTTTTCCAAAAATAATTAAACAAATTGTTCAAGGGGAATTGTAGTGTTGCAATAATTACTTTACCAAAAAGTAACTAATTAATAAAAAAAATCTAACAAACTTGTGGTACGCAAATAGCATAACAAAATAACTTCTATTTTTCATCATTTATTTACAAAATTCAAGCACAAAAAGTGCAAATTGCTATTTTTATTAAGTTAAAATTAAAAGTCAGATTAAAAACTGTAAAAAAACAGTTTCGGCATTGGAAAAATTCAGTTGAATACCGGTATTGAAAACTGTGGAAACTCTATCTAGAACCAAATTTCTGAGATTTAAAATAGATGATTTTAATTAGCTTCCATTAGGTTTGGGGTTAAGCTCATTTTATACAAAAAAAAAATTCATTTAATTAAACATTTAATTGTTACTATTGAAAATATTTTTCAACAATCATGTCTATAAATTTTTTAAACTCCAGACACATAACTCATCTAGACATATTTAAATTAGACAGCAAATACACACATTTTCCTTAACTGAGCATATTTATTTAAAATTTTCAATCAAATTTAGATATTTTAAACCAAATTTTAAGATAATCAGTTAGTACCACAATGGTTAGAGTATTTGTTTCCACAAGCATAAAGATCAATCCCTAGTACATTCTAGGTAGTATTCTGATCAACTTATTTTTCTGCAAACTAAACTTTCTTGTCAAGATTTGTATTTTAGAATTATAGGGCTGAGAGAGAGAGAGAGAGAGAGAGAGAGAGAGAAAGAGAGAGAGAAAGGGGGAAAGGAGGCAGACTATAGCCTCCTTAATAGTATTGAAGTCCCAGTTTTGAAGAAATAATTTAGAAATTTAATTGCACTCATATCGAATAAAGCCTATTTTGTTTATGAGTTAAAAATGAATCTATCATAAAATCTGCAAAACTTGCATATTTTGCTTTCTTATGCTTCTTATATATAATATACTTTCTTATGCTTCTTATATATATTATACTTTCTTGCAAATTTTTTAGTAAAACTTGACTGATTCTCATCATTTTACTGTTTTTTAGTAAATTACAAATTACATTATTTTACATACATATTTACTTGCTCTATTCATTCTAAGGTTGAATAGCGAGTCGCGGGGTAAAGCATAAGTGGCGATGACGTTTGTCTGACGGGATAAACTAGTTATAAATGCTGATCCTCATCGAAACGCCAGTAATAATAGACGCGACTCTGAGGAGATGTTCTAATCACTACACAAATTATGTTTACACATCAGGATTAATGTTTTTTTTCCATTCTGAGGCCTTTCATAGTTGTTAGCATACTTGGTTTTTTGTTTTATAAGTTTTTTGTCTGATGATGTAATTGTTGTATATCTTCGTTCATATTGGTGTTTATAAAACAATTTTTTTTTTTTATTGTTATTGTTGTTGAATACTGTTTTGGGTGTATAGTCTGTCTTATTTATTTTTAAATATTCCTCAATTAATCTTTATTTTTGTCTTGACAACTGTCAAAATAAGCTTTGTTCAATAAATAATTCTCCTTTATTCTAACGTACTTCATTTCTTTCCTTAGACGTTCACTGCTCGTGTGTGACCATTCGGCAAATTTTATATGCCAAAGTTTTTAAATAATAAAAAAAAAGCTTTTTTTAACCTGTTTTTTTAAAATTACTTTATATAGTATATATTCAAAGCGCACTTTAAAAAAAAAAAAAAAATTTCCTCTTTTACTTAACTTTTTAAATCTAAACTACAAGTCATTAAATGGAAAATAATTTGTGTTCAGTAACACCGTGTTTATATAAAGTGCTTTAAACTGAATATTAAAGAAAGGTTGAATGAATATTAGCCAAACCTAAAGCTGATACAAAGTAATAAGGAAAATCCAATAAAAAGAAACTTGAATAAAGAACTTAAAAAATGGTAACAAATACTAAATTAATACAAAATATTTTACTTTTTCCCAGGTTAAATCTTCTAAAATTGCATCAGGATTCCAGCCACCTTCTTCAAAGGCATTTCCATCATCTTCATTTGCATTGTTAATTTCCTCATTTTCATTTTGTTCTGCATGATCATTATCAATATTCTCTTGACGATGATCTATATTATTTACATGTGGTAATGCAATGTGATCCTCTTCGTGTTCTAAAGGGCCAGGATTTTCTAAAACAACAGGGTTTCTCTCGTCTTGATGGTTGACATTATTCAACTAAAACAATAATTATTATCAACAAAAATTATTTTATGTTAACTCATGTTAATTTATGTTGAGATAAATTTTCTCACTTACTCTACGAGCAATTAAATTTCTAATAAAAATGTCTATTTGTATGGCTTGAACATTATCTTGATCATTCAACCAGTCTGGCCCACCATGTATCGTAAACTGCTCTCGAAGCCATAACAACATAATAAAACTGCTAACAGTAATACCCACTACAACACCACCATAAACTATATCAAGTAATATATTTTCCCTAAAATAAAATTTAAAAATTTATATTATTTGTAACTAATATAGTTTTTTATTATTATTAATGTATATAACACCTGTTTTTCTTTTTCTTTGTATAGGTCACCATCAGATGTAAAAAATAAATTATTATATATTATCATCATTATACATTCTCTATTGTTTGATTGTTGCTATTTTAATACATTTTATTATTAATATTTCTGCTGGTATTACTATTTATTATTATAATTTTTATATTTATTATTATTATAATACATAGTAACTTTAATATTAAGTTTTATTGATTAATATAAAAGATAATGAAAAATGAAAATTACAGTGAAAGCATATCCATAGGAAGAACAATTAATGAATGAAGTGATCCAGCAAACAAACATTTATAAACTCGATCTAAAAAGGAATAAGGTTTTGCAAAATTTTAAAAATATACAACTAAAAAAAACAGTGCAGTGTATAAAAAAATCTACAAAAACAAGTGTAACAGTACAAAAAAAAAAAAACTTATTGTTTAGATTTTTAGGAAAATCTATTTTTATAAAAATAATAAAATACATGCGGTTAGTGGAACTATTCCCAACCAAGCAACAACCACTAATGTATAGTGCAACCAGTAGCGCAATGCTCGTAGAATATTTTTCCCTAAACCTTGTATTAATTCCACTAGAGGTATAGATTTAGGCATATCTGGAGAGTAAACTAAAGTAGAAATAATAACATTTGTTAAACTTGGTAAGTATTAACACTAATATATCACATGATATTTATAAACATAGAGTTGCTAAAAAACAAGTTTTTTTCTTTTGGTGTTTTTTTGTTGTTGTTTTTTTGTTTTTGTTGGTGTTTTTCAAAGCAATTTGGAATAGTTTTCTTTTATTCTAGTATACTTTTAGTGTTTGATCAATAAAAGTACAATTACATGTATAAACACTAATTTAACTTAGATTAAAATTAAATTAGCTATGAATTAGATATATTTAGGCATACTGTATGGTAATGTTGTCCTAACAACTGTGATGTTCATTATAGATAGAAACTGTATTTGTCATGTTGTCCTAACAACTGTGATATTCATTATAGATAAAAACTTTTCTTATAAGAAAGCTACCATTTTAATTTTGATAATGAAAATATATTAGTATATAATACCATACCAGTGGCAACAAACAAGAAGCAATGACTGAATAACAATATTTTATTTTATACAGTCAGTATAGAGGTGTTTTTATTGCATTTTGTGGTAAAATTTCATTGGAAAAATGCGTAGCAATGGAAAAATCAAATCAATGAAAAAATCATATGGCATAAACATATGATTATGCATTTAAATATGTATGTATGTATATATACATGTATGTATATATATATATATATATATATATATATATATATATATATATATATATATATATATATATATATATATATATATATATATATATATTTGTAATAGAGGTAGTTGAAAATGACAATCGAATAACAAATCCAGAAACTATCAAAGTTGGTTTCAAAGCAGTAGTACATAGACATTTAGATAAAAGTGATAATAGTGTGCAAATTGAGAAAAAAGTGGTTAGGATTTGGAAAAAAGTAATATCTCCTATTGTGAAGAACAAGTGTGATTTTCAAAGACGCAATAAAATAAATATTGAAAAAACAGCTACTCCTTTGTCTGTTTTTGAAAAAGTTGCAGGTTTAGATGGGCTTCTTGATTTATTGGTTACAGAATCAAATATTTATGCACAACAATCAGGTAAACAATTTACTATAGATTGAGTAGAAGTGGCTGCATTTTTATTAAGTAAATTTTGTAATGTCAATAAATGTTCTCACCAATTTGAAGTCATATAGGCCTGTGGATTCAATTAATGGTAGTACAAGAATTTAAAATATTACTACAAGAGAAAGATTTAAATCATTTCTTCAAAATTTGCATTTCAAAAATATTATTGAAAATGATAAAAATGATACGGACAGGGCAAGGACATTTTACATATTCTATTTCTTTGGTTTTACGGACAGGGCAAGTTGAATCACACACAAGTTGAGACACACGAAGTGGCTGTGTCCAATGTGCTGAGGACATGACTGAACAAAAAACATTTGTTGTGTGCTCAAGTTGTGATGCCCCATTGTGCTTGTTGAAAGAAAGAAATTGTTTCTTAAAATATTACCAGTAATTTTCTTAAATAAACTCCATCTTATAGATTTAGAGTCTATCAGACTGTACCTGTTTCAAATATATAAATCAAAAGTAATAAAAATTATTTTTTTTGCTCAAATATTTTTTATGCTGTACATTTTGTATGTGTGCTTATAACAATCTAACTATTTAGTAAGTTATGTAAAAAAAAAATGTGTAATTTTTTAAACCCTTTTTTTTACACTTACTGACCACAGGGACACCGGTGTCCCATGCCAGAAAACAGGATTGAAATTTTTTTTTTTAAAAAAAACAACTTATTTTATCATAAGGTATCTATTTCTTATAATTTAAGCATATTTGCAACAAAAAAACCCTGCTCAGTTCCTTGTGGGCTTTAAAAGGGTTAATTATTTTAATTTTAGATTATCAAATCTCAAAATCTTTGAAAGAAAATAGTATTACCAAATTTTAATCCTTCTTTTACTCGTCCTGTTTTTAAAACTAAATTTAAAAATATTTTCTTTATGGACATTATAACCATTATAAAATTCTCATAGCAATCTAAAATTCTACTAAAAACGTATATAAGATGTATTTGTTAAATCTTCAGCATTTTTTATATTAATATGTTTGTATGTTGTATCTTTGCATTATGTTAAATCTTCAATATATCCATATATTACAAATAAATGTTTAATTTTTAAGGTTCTAATGATAAGATTCTTATGATCTTCTTTCAGAAACCTAGCTTTATATTGTTAGTACGCTGAATTTTTTATTTTTTAAAAGACTTAAATGTTATTATGTATCATGACAATTATGAAAAACTGGAAAAAAAAATTAAACAACAAAAACAAATTTTTTGTCAACAAATTTGTTTATGTAATTTTGACTTTCGTATTACTTTAAATATTTAAAATCGTAGTGTATTTTACACTTTTGTGCTATAGACCCACTAGCTTTTACAGGGATCCCACTATTAAAACTAAGGTTAGAATTAAATTATTATTACTTTACACACACACACACACACACACACACACACACACACACACACACACACACACACACACACACACACACACACACACACACACATATATATATATATATATATATATACATATATATATACATATATATATATATATATATATATATACATATATATATACATATATATATATATATATATATATATATATATATATATATATATATATATATATATATATATATATATATATATATTTAACACCTAAAGTATAGCAATGGTCAGTAGAATGGATCTTTTTAAATCCATATTGATTACTGTATAACATCTTGTTTTCAGTTAGATTTTTATCAATTTTTCTGGAATATGACTTGATTTAATTGAGAGATTAAAAATATGGTGTAATGAAGGTTCAATAATATCAAAAACAGATTTAATTACATTAACACTAATTTGATCAATACCAGCGCTTTTATTTTTTTCAGGCTATTAAAAGCATCATATAGTTCACTTTTTCTTAAATTAGGTTGGTCCATATTTATATCAGTCAATATAAGATATGAATCAAATCTTTTTTGACCAATTTCAGTATATCAATTCTGTAGGTTATATTTGATTCATATGGCAATAATAAAAAAAATAATAATAAAAATAAAAATAAATTAAAAATAATAAAAATTCGCTTTTATAATAAAAAACCAATGTAAAACCGGTTATCTGGTTTTACTATTTTATAAAACCGAAAACCAGTTTTTTGAAATTTTCCTTTTCCAATTTTTTTTTGCCAAGCCCTACATCCCATACACCAATATCAGACTTCAAATGCTCAAAGAAATAAGCATACTACCAAGATTATTTCTTTGAACTTTTTCTTTGATTGTGTAGTAATTTAGTTTTACATTATTTGTTTGTTATATTTGTCAAAAAAATATATATAGCTAGTAGCCCCTTATAAAAAAAAGCCCTTATACTGAACTTAATTTCAAGAAAAATTTAAAGATTTTGAATTATTATGATTTACTGAGTTTCCCAGACCAACTTCATCTGATGATTCATAATTTATTTATTCATAATTTATTTTTTTATCTGCATTATATGATTTATTATCTATATTTGAGAAATTTTTAAACATCCTTTGTTGTTCAAGCTCAATTTTAAGAAATAATCTTATGGCAAAACGAACATTTAACTATTTCAATTGCTAATTCAGTTCAGAGGTTTAAATAAATGGGCAACTAAGGTTTTATTTCTGCCCCACTATATGGAGAGCTTAATCATAGTTGATTACCAACAAGAACAATAAAAAATCAATAAATAATTTAAAGATATTCTTTCTCTCTCTCTTTTTCTTTCTTTTTTTCTCTCTCCCTCTCTCTCTCTCTCTCTCTCTCTCTCTCTCTCTCTCTCTCTCTCTCTATATATATATATATATATATATATATATATATATATATATATATATATATATATATATATATATATATATATATATTAGGGTTATGACATTTTTTGAATCTGTTGTGGCCATACTTCTTTAACCTGAGAAATGTTGAGTAAGTGATAAAAAAAAAAATGATTTAATGGTAGTCTAGTTGCAAAAATATCTCCCCCCCCCCTTGATAATAACGTGGTTTTTCATAGATTACATGAGGACACATAAAGCTTATTTCCAACCGGTTTATGAACAGCCACAAAAATAAATACAATTAATTGTAAATTATATTTAGTATTTATAAACTACATATCATTGAAATGGATCATGAAAAGTTAGTATATTAAAGTTAATTTTTCACTTTAATTTGTTATTTTTGTATATTGACCAATAAAAATCAACTTTCTATATTTGCAAACCATCTATTAGGTTTTTTAGGTAGCCATTATAGATAAAATGTGACATTAAAAAATACTAACTTTTTACAAAAGAATGACTAGAGCTGCATATAATAAAAAAAAATAAAAGGTTCCGAGGTCAATATTGTAATCCTAAATCTGAAATTTGGTTTTTAAAATATAAAGCTTCAAAGTATGAACTTTTTTTGGCTACAGAAGTTTTTAATTTCTGAAAAAATCAGAAAGTTTAAATAACCATATCATGGTCATTTGAAATTTCTAAAATAAAGTCAAAAGGATTTATGCTGAAACTTTCAGGATTTGCTTTTCTCATTGATATAAACCAACCTACCAAGTATCATCAAAATCTTAGGCAGTCCATGTTGTAATCCTAAAATTTTGGTCCATATGGCATGGAATGACCCTATGTGGCCTCAACAATGCACACTAAAAGTATTAATAGGGACACCTTTTATGTGCAACATGGAATTGTTAACACTTTGATATTTTACAACTGTTGATGGAATTAGCCTCTCTGAAAACTATGACTGAGTTTAAGAAACCTTACTACCAGTCTTCTTCAGAAGCATTAAACTGAGTTTTAAAGCTGTACCTTTGATTAGAGATAACAGAAAGAGTTGCATAACCACTACCATTAAAGCACAAGCAACAACCCATGAGTAGAGTCAAAAAGATGTATTGCACTCTTTCTCTCTAAGTTTTCCTACTTCTATTTTTCTTGAAATTGCAGACAATGGCGATCATCTGATCTGATGATGACCATCACCTTTCATTATCAGTGATTCACTACTAGACAATAAGACTCAAAAATCAATTTAAAAATAATTTAAAAACGATTTAAAATCTTATAAAATTAGTTATTATAAGCTTATTTTTCAACCTAATGTTTTCTATTCTATTAAAAAAACTTTAAGGCTGTAATGGTGCACTTTAAGAAAGTGTTGCCTTACTATATCTTTTACTTGCCTTACTATATCTTTTAAATCATAACTGTCTAAACTTAAAAAAACAAGTTAATTACAAGTTAGTTAACAAGTTAACAATTTTATGTTTAATTATTTAAACTCAACCATTTCACTCTAAAACAAACTCAATTTTTTCAATTCTCTCAATTGCAAAAAATTTAAAGAGAAGCTCAAAAAATGTAAAGAGAAGCTCAAATAGCTTTAAAGAGAAGCTCAAAAAACATAAAGAGAAGCTCAAATAGCTTTAAAGAGAAGATCTACTAATAGATCTTTTTTTAAAGCTTTATACTTTTGCTTTATAGTTGAATAGGGTTGTTTTGGATATATTTACATGGAAGCAAGATCTATGTGGAAGCAATGGGGGAAGGAATGCTAAAATTTAATTTCTTATGTTAATCTACACCCTCTTTAGTTCAACTTAGCATAAAAACTTGCATTGAAAAAAAAAGTTTTAAAACTACATTTTGAAAATACTTGTGATATTTGCATCTCAAAACCTCACCTCATCTATGAGCAGTAAAGTCTCATATTTTATTTTGGTGCTCTTATTAGCATGTTTTATTGTATATATTTTAAATAGAAATGCTAAAATCCAATATTTTAATAGTTGCTTTTAAACTTTAATATTAATTTCTAGAATTATAAAAATTATACAAACTATTGTCAAAGTATAAAATTTTTGTACCTGGTCTAAATGTAAACTTGTGATTGCAAAGCTCACAATATCTATCAAAAAAAATTGAAAAACAAGTAAGCAAAAAAATAGAGTATAATGAACAAAAAAAAGAGATAATAAAAAATAACTATGAATTGCTGATAAAGTGTATGATATAAACTGTACTGCACTATTTATATATACAAATATAAAAATTTGCATTTTTCTGCACTATTTTTAGAAAACTTACATATTCTAAACATTATTCATAAATGTTTAAAATAATTACTCTTTTTTTTTTCTACCTTGAGTTTTATTTTAACTAAGGTTTAATTTCTTTTTCTTTTTTTTTTTTTATTTTCTTTTTAATTTTTTTTATGCTTATTTTAATTTAATTTGTTTTTTTTGAAATGATTAATATACACACTGCATATATAAATGTATGTAACATGTATATATGCAGTGGTGGGATTCGAACCACAAACATTCTGTGTATGAAGTAATTGCTTTTTTAAATGTGCCTATACTTATGAACACATAAATATAATAAAACAAGTTATACATAAAAATGTATGCATCCATTACATAGACGTTCTCATATAAGAACACTATATACTTGTTACATAAAAATTATACAAATATATTATGTAATCCAATAGCAATTTATATTTTTGCTTTTCTCTTTATAAAAAACACTAATAAAATATAGGAAAATCATTTTTTTTAATGTCGGTTAAAAACTGTATTTTTTTGATTTGCCTTGTCTAATTTTGTTACTGAAAATAACAACCACTCTAAAGAAACAAAAATGAAAACAGTACACAAATTATTATTATTATTAATTTTCTATATTTAAATTAATTTCCTATTTTATTAGTTTTGCTTTCTTTAAATTTGAAACTGTTTTTTCTGCAAGGCTTATTATAATAAAACTTGCAAATGGCAGTGACCAAGTTGTCTAAAATAAAATACTCATGCGTGGACATAAAAGACAAAAAACTGCCCACGTTTCCTGGGAAGGCTTGATATATAAAATACAAAAACTCTTGTATTTATAAGAATGCTCATTAATAAATAAATAAATAGGATTTAATTATATAATTATATATATATATATATATATATATATATATATATATATATATATATATATATATATATATATATATATATATATATATATATATATATATATATACATATATATATATATATATATATATATATATATATATATATATATATATATATATATATATATATATATATATATATATATATATATATATATATATATATATATATATATATATATATATATATAGGCCTCGGCGGGAATAAATGAGCACGAGAAATGAGAAAAGCTCTCTTAAAATGAATTTGGGGAGCTGTGGGAGCTGCTCCTCATTTAAATCTGCACCCTTTTTTTAATTTTTTTTTTTTTTTTTTTGCAGCAATAATGCTTTTTAAAAAGCATTGCAGTATATTACAGGGTTGGCAAAAAAAACCCAACCCAAAAAAATCTACCTTAAAAAAATCTAATAAAACCCAAAAAAACATAAGATATATTAGGGTTTTTTTTTAAATGTCCTATTTTACAACTGATAACTCTGATTTTAACATTTATAAATGCTTTATTATCAGCAAGTGCAACTTTTATACTGTAATTACTCTTGTAAACACTGTATTTATATACAAAATGGTATTTAGAATATATCCAAAACCGATTAACCTGTTTTTGTAGCAAGTTGGTTATTTATTATTTTTTAAAAACATATAGCAAGTTATTATAAATGTTATTGAAATATGTATTAAAACATTAAATTAGTTAAATAATTATAAAGGAAATAAAATCATTCTATTAACTAAATTTCAAGACATTACTAGTTATTTAGTATCTTTATTCTCCTCTCGAATGTCTATATTTCCTAACAAGCGTTTTATATATGTCATTTTATATTGGTATTTGATCTTTTATTTTTTAAAGCTTATCTTGTAAACTGCAAATTTCGGTACAAAGCCACAAGCAAAATACTATATATAAAAATTATTAAACTTTATTTACAGTTTAGAAATGGAGAGTTGTTAGGCAAAAAAAAATGCTACAGTTTACTAGACTTGTCCTTATTTAAAGTGCATACAACTTTAAAACATAAAAAATTAAGTTATGTGCAAGCAAGTTTGCAACATGTTTGCTCATTCAATGAGAAACTTATATACACTTCACAAGGACAAGATTTGTTGGTAAAAATGATACTCGTTCTTATCTGTCTTTCGACAGGTTTTGAATATTTTGCATCAGCTACAAGTTTACAACATGTACCACCAACAGATGTGACTATGAACAGCGTGTTGAAAATAAACATCAGTATCAAGTTGGTAAAAGGTGAAGAAACACTCACAATAGAGCTATATAATGCATTACTTTGATTTAGTTGCAAAACTGAGCCGGTAAAGCATCTTCAAGGAAAAAAAAAAATCTGGTGGTGAAGACACTGCAATGTTTCTTAACATTTTAGATATTTTAAGAACAATTAAAGCTTAGGCAAATATTCATTTGCAAAACAAATCTTCCCATAAAAAATAAAAACACTATGAATTGTCTTCTGATCTTTCTTGGAAACCATATATCAAATCCATTGCAAAATCTGCTAAGGTTGCATCTCTTTATTGTGCTTACCACTTTTTTACATCTTTAAATCTTAAATCCGACCTTGTATAGAACGCTGTTGCCAAATCTGGAAAGGGTATTTGAATGACGCTCTTTCTCTTTTAGACAAGGTGAAAAATGCATTGTAAACATAGTTGGATCTGCTCTTGCTGCCAACCTTCAACCATGGTCACATCAACGTAATATTGCTTCTCTTTTTCTTTTTTCTATAAATATTATAATGGGCGCTGCTCTAAAGAGCTGGCGTCTCTTGTGCCATCTACAAAATTTCATTCTTGTGTTCAATTAATTAAGTCTTATCTTTTTACTGTGACTGTTCTTAAGTGCTTTAAAAATTTTGTCTAGTTTTTTTCCTCAAAATCAGTTTTTTGGAATTTGACTCCTTTATCTTGCTTTCCTGATTCATATAATTTGCAATCTTTTAATTCGTCTGTTATTCATTATCTTGCTTCTTAGACTTCATCATTTGTATATATATATGTATACATATATATACATTTACTTATATACCTAGAAAAACAGGTGTTAAATATACTGTTTGTGGTAAAAGCTCTTAGCTTGTCTATAGTATTTAAACTGACAAAATTAAGGCTAGATTATTAAAAAAAAACATTAATTTAATTGAGGTAACTAATTAAATTTGATGCTTTTTTTGAAAACCAAAATAACGCAAATTAAAAGACTTGAATGTTTTAAAAACATTCTGAATATTTTTATATCACTTTTTTTTTTAAAAAAACGGAATAGCTTAAGGTAAGCACAAAAAGTGAGCAAATGCTTATCAAAACACGCTCTAGTAAGTGTATATATATATATATATATATATATATATATATATATATATATATATATATATTATATATATATATATATATATATATATATGTATATGTATATGTATATGTATATGTATATGTATATGTATATGTATATGCATATGTATATGTATATGTATATCTATACATATATACATATATACATATACATATATATATATATATATATATATATGCAAGCATTCCCAGCAAACTTGTACGGTTTTTTGTCTTGTATGCCCACGCATTATTTGTTTTTTAAAGAGGGAAGCAAAAAAATAAATTCTTATCTGTTTGCATAATATATTTGTATAATTTTAATAAAACAAGTATACAATGTCCCTATATACAATGAATGTCTATGTAATGCATGTGTATACTTTTATATATAACTTAAATTTGAAAAATGGTGGAGCTTGAATATTGCTACTCTGTGTGCAAAGTAAATGCCTTATCCAAATAAGCTAAATGTACGCATATTTATGACAAATAAATGTAATTATATAATAAGATAGGTTATACATAAGTACAGCGAGGAAAATAACGGCCAGTCAACGGTAAATAACCGCCTGGATTGACTAAAAATGCTATTTTGACCTCCCAATATGAATTTTTGACAGTCATGGTTGACCGGTTGAAAAAAAAATCAGAGATTTAAAAGCAAGGTTTGACAAATAATCATGGTGTTATTGGGAAAGTGCATGTACTAAAATTTTATAAAATTATTTAAATTTTGAAACTGCATTTAAAATAGTTTTCTTGTTTACGATACTCTACTTTAATTGCTTAGCGGGTTAAAGCGTAAAGTTTGAAAGCAAAAAGAAGTTAAAGCAAATTTTTTTTTTTATCCTTTTATTTTTCAATACTGCCTGGTTTTTACCTTGGTTTTAAAAATGCTCCAATATACTTATTTTTCATCAATATAGTTCAATAATTAAAAATTAATAATTTGATAATAATTTTATATTATTAATTCTGCTATATTATTAACTCTTATGTTAAAACAGTAAAGTTAGAACAGTACGAGTTTGAGAAAATTAATGTTTAAGTTTTAAACAATTATAGTTTGTAAACGAATCATTGATCTACGTTATGACAAGAAATAATGAAAGAAAGATGGAATGTATTATTTTTGTAGTACATAGAGAGATTGGCATAAGTTAAATGAAATTATGAAAAAAATTGCAAATAACAAAAAATGGACTAGTACTGTTCTTCCTCTCACCAACTCAATTATTGCATACTAATAGAAACCAGTAATTTTTCTGCTTTAACAGCCATGAACTCATTAATTCACTTTGTTGACAAATGCGTGTAATGTTCAAGGTAAACTATAATCATCAAGTTTTTTGCTTCACTTCTTTAAATTAATTTTATTTTATTAATGGTAAAAATCTTTTTTACTTAAATGATTGAAGTTCTTATTTTATTACTATTTTAATATAAAAATTTTATATATTATTTTATAAATAATATAACAATATATAATAAGTTATGTATTTAACTATGAACAGTTTTTCTTTTATCTGCACTTAGTCAATTTTTTTATTTTTCTCTAAACCGTTTTGTTTATTTCTCTTAAGTT